CACCAACAAGAAAATGGAAACTAAAAGTGTGGGTGAGGGAGCAAGACAGTTCATAGCATCGTAAAGTGAACCACTCAGGTCCATACATTAATGCAAGTGCTCATCTTTACCTACATGGACCCTCAGTCCTGGGAATGTAACTCACCAAGGTTTTAATAGAAGTGGGGAAATTGATAGTACGAAGTCTAGGCAATATGCTACCCTGATAGAAGTCCCTCATTTAGTACTTAATAACAATTGCATGTGCTCAGGTTGATTCTGACATATGGCAACCCGCCAATATTTGTATGTTTCCAGATACAGTATCTGATTGGAGGGGAGGGGACATCGTTGCAAATAGGGAAAAGCAAACTGCTGTGACTTGGAGGCTACACAGAGTCTTCAGAATTATTTCTGGCAGAATTATTCGCTCGTTTCTATGCGTAGCCATGAGAACACAAGAAAAAGAGAAGTAGAAAACTGCTATTTTTGAAATTCTGCAGTGAGGTCACCACACCAACAAGAAAATGGAAACTAAAAGTGTGGGTGAGGGAGCAAGACAGTTCATAGCATCGTAAAGTGAACCACTCAGGTCCATACATTAATGCAAGTGCTCATCTTTACCTACATGGACCCTCAGTCCTGGGAATGTAACTCACCAAGGTTTTAATAGAAGTGGGGAAATTGATAGTACGAAGTCTAGGCAATATGCTACCCTGATAGAAGTCCCTCATTTACTACTGTAGTTTTCCTGGTGAACTTCCCTCCCAGTGTTTACTGTGCAGCTTGCCCAAGGCCACATAGCATGGCTCTTCTCCCAGGAGCATAGTGGGTAATTGAACTACCAAGCTCGCTGGCTCCACAGCAGGATATCAGAACCATTGAGCTGTCCAGCCAGCTCAATTAGTACTACAGCTTTATAAAAATGGATTGTTGCTTTTGGATTCTAGCTGCATGCCACGTTTGTGGCAGAAGTCCTTCCTTTACTGTTGAAGAGACCAAAGCAGGCAAAGCTGTGGCAACAACAATATCAATTTCTTGATTTTTTTTTTCCAAATGTGAACAGTGATCCTTGCAATTGGTGGAGGAACAATTGTTGGGGGAGAGAGAATTTGGATCAAGGTAATGACATTGGGGAGATTAAAGCAACATTTCCACTGTATAGTTTTCCTGGTGAACTCCACTCCCAGTGTTAGTTCTCTAGTTAGAAAATGTAGGAAAAAAGGAAAGTGTCTAATTTTAAGACATTTTCAGATCAAGAGCTTCTCATGCTAGCAATCAGAAGGCTCTGTGCATTCTTCAGTATTTTTCTCATTCACAAGGAACAGACAGAAGCGGAAATGAAACAACAACGGAGGTTGTGAATGTAGAATGTTATCACCTTAAGCCCCCATCAAATTCACTGAAAGTAGTTGAGTGATGGCATAATGAACTCCCTTATGTGAATGTGCTCTGAAGCCATTAGCTGATCTAGGCCATTGTTGTCAAGAGGGTCTTTTCTAAGCTTTGGGCAGGATTTTTTTTGTTAGAGCGTCTGTAGATGCCAGGATTTAATCAGATACCATCTTCATGGAAGGTCATCTACCACTGACCAAAGCTGTATGCACAGCCAGTGTTTTTTTTAATCAAGTTCATAAGGTAAAGATGCCAGTTGCCTGTGAAAACCTTTATTTCCATTTCATCTTCTGGAATAGAGACTCTTTCTTCTGGAAAGCTAGAACAACCAGTATCATCCACATATGATGCCATTCATGCTTTTAGGATAGCTGGTTGCCAGCAGTGAGACCTGGAAACAGAGACATGTTCAAAGTAGTACCTTTCCTGTAGAACTGAAAAGAATACACCTGTAGCTTACATCACTCTTCAAAAACACAGGGAAATGAAGTTCAAGAAAGGCTTGTTATGTTAACAGGTGCTCCTGCTGCAACTGCCACCAGCACTGCTATCCGTTGGAGAGTGGGCTAATGGTCACCTTTTAAGACTTTGTTCTGGATCATGGATTTAGGGTTTATTCTAAGAGTTCATTTGTGGCCTAGGGTTAATGTTCGCACAAGGCAGCTTGAGATAAAAAGATAATAGGTGAAAGTAAATAAATCTTTGGCAAATGAATCTGTACATATGAAAAAATGTCTTATAATATTTAAGCTATAACCACAACTTTACTGGGTGTGAATAGAAAAAACTGTATTGAGGAGGATGCAATTTAAACAGCCCTTTAATACCAGGTTCTTTGCAAACTAAAATGATTAGCAGATCAAAAAGCAAATGCTCTGCGCAAAACCAGATTGGGAAACTATCATGGTGGGTTTTATGATTAGAGAACACTTATATCATAGAACTATCGTCACACTGTATTTGCCTTCACCAACATAATCTGAAAAAATATGGATAGGATTATAAAATTACATTAGGTTTGTAAATATAAATGTCCCAGTATCAAACAAGTGACCTTCTAGGTAATAAGACTAGGCTATAGTATCCAGAGAAAAATAAACAATATTAATCAGTAGTTGTAAGTATGTCTAACCAATGTTTGGTTTTATACCAGTAAAGGAATACTGTTTTGGAGCCTAACTGGAAGTCAAAAGGGACACATTGGTACTGCCACCAAGTCTTTCTCCTAAACATTTCTCTCTGAGAATGCCCTAACTAAGGCAAGACTGTGGCCCTGTTACTAGCCAACATTCTATTACAGCATCACACTGTGCAACAGTGTAATTCTCAGCACTAATTAAGTAGTCACTGCAAGGATTCCTCACCAGGCACCAGTGAGGTGGCCTGGTATACAAACAAGAATCCAAATGGCGACTCATTAGTGGTAACTCAGTGGTAAATTAGTGGTAAATTAGTGGTAATTTGGTGTTGCAAGGTATACTTTTGCCCTTCTGTCGGTGTAAACTCTAAAACTTTGCAAAACGATTCTGGTCTATGGGTATTGCATGCAGTATTAAGTAGTCACTGCAAGGATTCCTCACCATGCACCAATGAGGTGGCCTGGTATACAAGCAAGAATCCAAATGGTGACTCATTAGTGGTAACCTAGTGGTAAATTAGTGGTCATTTGGTGTTGCAAGTTATACTTTTGCCCTTCTGTCAGTGTAAACTCTTAAACTTTGCAAAACAATTCTGGTCTATGGGTATTGCATGCAGGGATTTAGATATGTTGAACATGCCCTTCTTTTATTTGAGCATCAATTGAATCTTCCATTTTGGTCTTTATTAACAGCTTAAGGGAGATATGTGCTGCCACTTCAGGTTCCCCACACTTGCTATTTATCAGTTGTCAGACTTTCAAGCAACTGCAAGTGATGAATTTAGAATCCCTAACATGAATGAAGGTAATATGGGCTGGATTAATGTGTTTCATTTAATTCTGCTTGGATTCACATCCTGTGCTGGCAACACATCCATTCTCCTCCTATAACCCTACTGTATAGCAGCCTTTAAGTCTGTATATTCCTGATCAGATGTGGAATTTTCAAGGAAAATCTTAATGTAACTTCTGGAGGCTGCTGCCTTTTGATTTTCAGCACCTTCTTTTTACCTGCTGATAAATACAAACAGACTTGGAGTCATCCTACTTCCTGCTTCTCCTCCTCCTCACTTTTCTCCCAAGCCTGCCCTTAATTGCCCCAATGCTGCCTGCTTGTTTGCTGGCACACACTTTTCTCCCAAGCCTGCCCTTAATTGCTGCCTGCTTGTTTGCTGGCACGCCACCACTGCTTCTTCTTCTTCTTTTGGCCGTGTGCCTTTGCCAATACAAAGTTAAAACACTGCATGGAGGTACAGTATTGCATTTGTTCTCCTCCCATAGGCAGATGTAGTTGGAAGGACTTGGAATTTGGCTCTTCCCTTTTTAGTGCAGAAAAATGTGTGGAGAGATGTGGTCAGTGTCACCCGGTGCTTTGGAAAAGGAAAAATGACCAATCTGGATGGTTAAAGGATGTTTTTAGTTAAAATTCATGGCTGAAAATGGAGGAGGAAGGAAGGAGAGGCAGCAGACTATAGAAGCAATGGGAAGGAAGGGGTGGTCTCAAAGACTGTGAGGTGTGAGGAAAACCCTCTACACAGTGGGAAAAGTACGGGTCGATCCACTGTGATTTGTACCCATGGCTTCCCTGGGTGAATTCACTGTAGCTGTCCAGATTTTCAGGAGTCAGCAGGGGCAGGGGAAGAGAGTTCAGTTTACACTGAGCTGCAAGAGCAGAAGTTGCCTTAAGAAGGTGCTAAAATGCTAATTTCCACTCCCCCATTCTTTTTTAATGGGTCTCGTAAGTTTTCTAGGGAAAGCTTGTTCCAGCCCTGAGGTGGAAACTTTAAAACACAAAAACTGTTTGGGGACAAGAGGTGTTCAGTTGAGGGGAGCTGACAACCCCACAAGCACTGTTTGCTCTTGATCAGGCGATTACACTGACAGAAACTGGTCAGTGGGCTTCCCCACGTTGAACTTTATGTTGTGTAGTCACCAGGCTTTAATTCGAATTTCTCAGTACCCCGTTTGACATAAATCGTGGGGTAAATAGCCAATGTAGCCCCCATTTAACTTTGACAGAGCAAGGTCCCTACAGATGCTGAGTGTTGAAGGAGAACCGTGCAAGAATGTATATTTCTAACAGGTGTGGGCTGAAAATCTAGATGGTGATGTGATGACTAGTTCATGTGGTGTGTTTTACTCCACTTATCTAATGCAGATTCCACCTTGCAGGTAAATTAGGTCTGCAGCAGTAATTAGGATTACCAAAATCCTAGCCTAGATGCATGTGAGGGAGGTTGTCAGTGAAGGAGGAAGTTAATATTTCCTTAATTGGGAATAGAGGAATAAAGTCTAGATTTGGCCTTGGAGGGCCATTCTCTATAAAATCTAGATTATTTTTAGTTTTTTTCTTTGATTTCAGGAGGAATACAACAGACAGGAAATAATACGACTAAAAATGACATGGCAGCTGTATGAAAGTAATTTATTATGTCCCACAAACAACTATTAGCATATTACAAAAATAAGACAACACTTTCTAAATTATAAGATATATTTAATATATTTTGATTCTTGCTACATAAAGGGTGTATAATAATAAGTATTACTAATAGTTATTTCTGTTTATTTCTGTTTATATGATGTATGTCTCATCTTTAAAAATAATTCCTGGGGCCATTAAACAAATTATAAATAAAAACGCAACAATACTAAATATACCAGATAAAAGGAGCAAAATCAAAGATGCATGTTGATAAACATATATAACATTTATGTGTGTACATTTTGCTAAATTAAATCAGTGTAAATTTTTTTAACAAGTACAATAAATGATAACAAAAGCAGAGGAAAAATATAACTAAAATGTGAACAAAGTAGGAAACTGGCAGCTAACTAAAATCACAAAGGTTGCAGAAGTTTATAGCATAATGATGCTCAGTTTTCAGTTGAACAAATCCAATATTCAGTAGATATTCTCACATATTTATGGTAAATCTTCTTGTATATTTTAGATTACCTGTAGAAACATTTTGAAAATTAATTTTAATTTATATATGGTCTATTTCATCTAAGAAACTAAAAATGTTTACAGACTTCGCTATGGAGAAATATAATTTTGAACAAGATTCTCTGTTCAGTGGACTACAATCCTTCTACATTCTAGAAGGATTTGAGAACACCTGGCTCTAAATGCTTTCCAACCTTGGCTTCCCAGATGTTCTTGGACTAAAACTCCCAGAAGCCTTCACCGCTAGCTCTACTGGACAGGTTTTCAGTGAGTTGTAGTCTAAGAACATCTGGGGACCCAAAGTTGGGAAGCACTCCAAATCATCACTTAAGAAGTCCTCAGTCTATTTATTTATAAAATCCAAATCCAGTTAAAGAGATCAGCAAATCATGAACATTTAATTTTATCAAGGTTCTCAGTCTGGAATGACTCGGTCAGGTTAAAAAAAAATTCATTGATTTTAGTGTGAGAAAGAACACAGTTATTATTTTCCAACTGAAAATAGTATCACAAATGTATTAATTTTGTCATCCGTATATATCATGCACTTTTGTAGAAGAACCACTGCTTGATATAGACCTGTTGTCAGATAAAGATAGTATTACTACAGCTGATGGGTGAATAGGGCTGATTCATTTATTCATCTGGACTGCTGGCTAAGAATTTCAGATGGTGGCTTATGCTGTTGATGCTATCTTTTAATAGTGTTGAAGGATTTTATTTGTTAATTCCTTTTTGGTTGGCAAAGCATAAAGTACAAAAGCCAGCTGCTGCACAGGGGAAACATGAAGAAGAACAGCTAAAATTCCCAACTTCCACCCTGCTCCTTTTGTCCTCACATTTAATAGCCCTTTGTATATAAAAATCACTCTGCAAGTAGCTTAAGTAGAAAAGGGAAAACATATATACTCAGAGTTGAGAAACTGCAGCCCAATTAGAAAAATAAAAAGAATAAGAAAGAAACTAGTATTAACCATCGGGGAGACTAAAATCCACCATGCTGGCCAGAGGTCAGCAGGAAAAGTGTACGTGTTTGCTCAGGTCAGAAGTCAAAGAAAAAGAGAAGAGCAAATAAAACATCTGGAAGCAAACAAATAGAAAGAGGGGGTGGGAACTTGCCTCAAGCCTGGGAAAAAGGATTTTGTTAATAAGTTAGTGACAAGGCATAGTTACGTTAAGCTGTGAAGCCCTCTTCCCACTGAAACCCGGTGTTAGGTTACATGCAAGATTGTTATTTTATCCAGCACTCCTTTTCAAGCATGCATGCAACATCCCTCAAGTTCCATCTTGCTTCATAGGTTCCATAAACAATCTCTTGGTAGAAGCTTGGTGAGGATATCTTTGAATCTGGACAGAAGATAATCTGGATGATCCCCATCTTGGTTAGATCTCATATCAAGTGGTACCTCACGCCAATGTGTTTGGTGTATATACTCATCTTCTCACTTTGTGGCAGCTTGATGCTGCTCTCGTTGTCTTCCATTACCTGGATTGACATATCTTCATCTATCCCAGAGTCATTTAGCAGCTTCTCCAGCCTTAGTGCTTTTGCTGCAGTGGTGAATTCTGATTGTGGAAGACAAAGCTAAAACAACTTGTTTATGACTACTAGCCCATGAAATAGGCCCACCACCCTACAAACACAGGAATCCATTTATGGTCCTTTCTGTTGTTTGTCTTGTCTGCATTTCTGTACCATATAAACTTTTGGTTTCTGATGGCTGACAGTCCTAGCGTAAAGTCCATAGTTTCTTTCAAATATCTAGTTACTCTTTTGACAGTTGCCCAGCCACTTAGTGTTGCTGAATTAACTTTTCTGCTGAGTATTTTTGTAGTGGTAGCTATGTCAAGTCTAGTAATGGCTGTTAAGTGAAAAAAGCTTTCCTATAGCTCTTCTTTACTTACTGTTGTTTGATTCACTGTCTTCTCTACCTTTCAGAAAATCTGTTGTCATGTGTGTTGCAACAGTGTTGCCATCTCAGAGGCCTAGTGAGTCTACAAGCTCAATTATCTTTTACTTCTGATTCAGCAAATATGAACCATCTACCTCCCTTTCAGTTTGAATGCCCAAATGTTGCATCTCCTAACTCCTTTATAACCTCTTTGATAAGCTTCTTTTCCAGCTGAGTTGCCACAGTTAGGTGGTCAACATAGGCAGGAATAAGGGATAAATGTCCACTTTGTCTTCTGGTATACATGCACTGTTCTGCATCATCTTGCTTGAAACCTTGTTGCAGCAGCATTTTCTTCATTTTTTTCATTCCAATGTCAAGCTGCTTACTTCAGTCCATACAGGCTGTTCTTTAGTTTTCAGACAAAATCAGGATGCTTTTGGTTAATGGAGCTGAGTGATTGCTCCATATACAGTTCATCTGCAATCTCTCCACGTAGTCTTGATATCTAGATGCTTGTATCTGTTTAGAGGCTGCTACGCTCAGGAGCATTCTTATAGTACTCTCACTGAACAAGGAACATGGGTTTTCTCCATACTGCTGCAGAAACATTTTTGCAGACAACCTTACCTTGTAGCATCCCACTTCTCTTGTTCAACTGTTCAGTTTCTTCCTAGATTACTTGCTCATTCACCACCAATGACTTTATGAGGTAGTTCAGGTGAAGAGATGGTACACTGTTGTTGTGTCTCAGTGAGTGTCTGATGGCTGGCTCTGGAGCAATGGTCCCCAACCTTGGGACTCCAGATGTTCTTTGACTTCAACTTCCAGAAATCCTGGCCAGCAGAGGTGGTGTTCATCAAAATGAACCACGTGTCTTGTGCTGATTTCACCTTTTTAAAAATATTTAATATGAGCTATCACTTCCTTTCCAAAAAAAGGAAATAGTGGCTTAAGTTCAACATATAGAAAAATTAATTCAAACATGTTTTTTTTTGGGGGGGGAAGAGAAAGAAAACCACTTAGACTACATATTGTACTCTAACCTGTAGCTCTCCAGTTGTTAGATTACGATTCTCATCATCCCTTACCAGCACAGCAAATGTTGCAGTCCAACAGAATCTACCCCTAACTTAGACTAGTCAGAATATAGAAGCATTCCCTTTATCTTGGTGTTCAGCAGACTTTGCTTTATAACATGGGCTTAATGAATAGTTACAGCTTGTTCTGCAGAGAATAGGCAGAATAGGTGACGCAGTTTGACAAGGTGGGGCTGTTTTCCTGTGCAGTTAATGATTAAGCTAACCTGTTACAGTGGAATGCAGCAAACGGTAATATTCCACTTAAACTGGTGGCATAGCTATACAGTATATGTATCCAACAGATACATAAAACAGCAGAGGTAATCCATTCTGCAATATCCTCTGATTGCACATAGCACACAGTGACTCACCCAGAGAACATAGAAACAAGAGCCCCTCCAAACATGCCCTGAATCTAATCTAATCTCTACCTTCATCTTAAATAGTCAGAAAAAAAAAGTAACTGTGCCAGGAATAAAGCCAAACGGCAGCTTCTGGTATGCAGAGAACAAGCTACATCAGGTCTCATCTTCCCAACCTGTTTTCAAACTAATGAAGTAATACTCATTTCTGTTGTCTCTCACTTGTTAAATATATTTAGGCATTATAAGTGAAATGAAGAGTGTCTTCTGCTCCCACGAGGGAGCCTTGTGGTGCGGTGGTTAAACCGCTGTACTGCAGCCAAAACTGTGCTCACCACCCAGGATCCAATCCCAGGTAGCCCGTTCAGGGTTAACTCAGCCCTCTATCCTTCTGAGGTTGGTAAAATGAGTACCCAGCTCACTGGGGTGTGTGGCTGCTATATGTATCCTCCATAATTAACTCGTGAACCACCCCGAGACTGCCTTAAGTGCTATAGGGTGGGTATATAAGCAGCTCACTTTGCTTTTCTCATCTCAGCTCTGCCCTATTACAAGTGTTCAAAATTCCTAGTTCTATTTAGATAAGACTGGATTGGATACATTCAGGTACACCATGGCCAGAATCCTACTGGCTAGTTATGCCTGAATATGTATAATAGCATAAATTACTGCAGTGAATTGCTGCTAATTTACAGGTTGCCACTTATATCTGTAAGCCACCCCGAGTAGACATGGTCTAGAGGGGAGGGGTAAAAAATCAAATAAATAAAAAAATAAAAATAAATATCTCCTATATGATTGGCATTCAGTGAGGGACAGAAGTGGGAGCTTGTTAACTCACAGCAATTCATCGCTGCAGTTTATGCCATTGTGGTTACACCATTGAAATTACCGCTAGAGTTCTGGCCATTACCTTAAAACCACATTTAAAACGATCTGTTAACGTGATTCACCAATTCTTTGTAAGTATATATTTGTTGACAAAACTGATTCATCAGTCAATATTGATTTTCAGAAACTCTGATTCAACACTTCTGAAGGAAGGACGTTGCTGTGATGGAATGTGTGCATATAATCAAGTTATCGTGTCTGCAAACCTGCTCCATGAAAAGTACTGCTCTCTACATTGAATGGCAGGCAGCAGCTCTCTCAGATTTCAGGTAAAGGACTTTTTCTAAGTTGGCTGCCCAAAGTCACTGGCCATTGCCATCGGACCCACAGCTAATATTGTAGGAAAGCAAGTTTCCTAAGTGCTATCTAGGTCTTGCAATTCAAAATCACATGGGTTGAGGGGCTGGCCATGCCAGATGGGAGAATTCTGGGATTTGTAGGAAAGCAAGTTTCCTAAGTGCTGGGTTGAGGGTCTTTAGAAATGTAAAGCATGTGATTCACCACTAAAAACTATGATAGATACAGGCTAAAGGCTTACATCCTATTATTTGGAATTAGTGTAGAGGAATTTGTGTACGTTCAAAATACCACCTGAATTAAAAAAGAATTTTGTACGTAGTACCATATTTTTTTCTTTCTTCCTGGCTTATTTTTAAATTAACAGACATCCTTAGCAACCCAGCATGATTTCCTGCTTGAGGCCCTTTCCAAATTTAAGTCGCATAGTATCCAAAGCCAGCCAAGTCATCTTTGCAAAGAAGGCAGGCAGGTCCACAAGGACCTGTCCCATATCCAGCCAGTAAAAAAATTGAACAACTTCCTATCCTTTCATGATGCCTTAAATCCATGGCCTAAAGCTACTAGTTACTGTAAGTCTGGCTAATGGCAGGACTTCTTCTGAAAACCATACAATAACAATAACAATAACAATAACAATAACAATAACAATAACAATAACAATAACAATAACAATAACAATAAAACAACAACAACAACAACAACAACAACAACAACAACAACAACAACAACAAAAACAGGGTTTTCTAAATATGGAAAATCAGGTATAGAAATTCTAAGTATCAGAAATGGTTTACAAGTCTCTTCTTGTTGGACCAATCTGGGACTGCACAGCTGGCCAAAAGCTACATAGGCTGGCATTAGGGAATGAATTCCCATCCTCAGGCGCCAGAGTCAAATACCCAACTCGCCCCCACTATCTAGCCAACTGCAGCCCAGATATAAGATCTGGAAAATATTAGCAACTGAAGTTACATTCCAGCATGGAAGCATGGCCATGATTGTTGAACGTTTCCAAGCCTGGTTGAAGAGAAACATCACCCAGAACAGTGTGATGACAATATGCTTGAAAAGTGCAGTCCATTGTATGGCTCCCCTGGTGTAAGTCCCACTGACTTTCATATGATTTACTTCAGGGAATTCTGCAAACCTATGTGCATTTTCCATTGAATTCAGTAGACCATAATACTTTCAAACAGATATAACATCATGGTTTTAATTGAAATATATGGTATGTCAGCAAACGGGAAGGTGTGTAAGTCATAGTAAAGTCATTCACTGACAGCTACAGAATTTTTGCTTTTAACAGTGTCACTGACATCTAGTGGTAAAGCATATTGAACATCTGTGATGTAAATTTAAAATATTTCAAGGATATGTATTACATACTAATGTTGCAGGAGTGGCACATACCTCACCCTTTTTTGCCACATCAGAGCCCTCCCTGCTACTCCTTTTCAGAACTTGTCCTTCCCTGCCATAAAACTGCATCAACTGAAAGTCAGACAACAGGACATTTACATTCTTGCAACAAACCCCAGAGTATGACCTGCTGTGGTTTCAGGGGAATACCAGAGTGACAGAGCTCTCCACAGGGTTCAGACAGCAAACTAACAACTCTGTAAACATACACAGAGACTAAGAATGTGGCACAAATGAGTTTAAATCCAAAAGATTGCTTTTATCAGTGAGTTTAGTGTGCCCAAAAGTGGGGTTAGACAGAAAAATGTGCTGTGCCAATATCATCTTCTCAACTTGCAATATTTTGCTACTATTTCCCTTCATTTTTTCATCTTCTCAACTTGCAATATTTTGCTACAAATATGAACACAGTACTATTTCCCTTCATTTTGAAAGAATTTAATTGCATGGGCTATATAAAGCTGCAGTCATGAAACCATACTTCATAAAACTGTAATGATTGTTATGTCCTAATTCATCTGATAGTGTAGATGTGAGCATGACAGCCACCATCCTATGCATCTTAATTTGGAACTAAAAAAACCCACTCTGCCCTGCAGTGGGATGACATCATATCCATAAGGCTGATCCATGGGGTTTCTTTAGTCACTGTTATTTATTTAAAACATTGTATATGCTTCCTTTCTCCTAGAAAGGATCCAGTAAAAGGGGCTGACAGTGAAGATGCAAGAATAGCATTTGTTATCTGAATAGCACAGCAGAACTTTGAAAACTTCAGGCAATGTGTGCCAATAATTTGGGCTCTGCTTCAGCAAGATGTCTTGAGACACCACTGTGCAGACCCATTGATTTCAATCATGGGGTGATATCAGATAACATCAGAAGAAATGACAATATAGATTCATCATGGATCCTGTGAACGAACCCAGTTTCTGATGCCATGTTTTGCATGATGGACAACAAATCTGAACACAATTCAGATTGTTGTCTTGCCCTTTCTGTTGTGCTCCTGGCCAGCTCTCCACTTTTTTTTTGTAGCAGCACATATTATGCATTCCTTTTCCACTTGCTTGCTATTTAATTTTTCATGCATTATTGTTCTACTGCACTTTGTCTGTGTGCCTGTCTGTCCATCCCCCCTCCCCAGTTTTAGGGCATAGCTCTGGAAAAAAGACCACATCTTTAGCTAAATGGGGATTTGTTGTTAGGTGACATCAAGTCACATCTAATGTATAGCAACCGTAAGTTATATGAGATATTCAAGGAAAGGTTTCTACCATTGCCACATCCCAGTGAATTTCCATGGCTGAGTGAAATTCTGTCTTTAGTCCCAGTCTGTCTCTTTATCCAGTCCACCACGCTGCCTCTCCGAATGGGCATGGACACTTCCAAATCAGTCCCATTGCTCCACAACTTCAATGACTACCTTCTCAGTCACCTTTAAACCAGTGTGTGAGGACTGTAGCCTTAAGCAGGCTGACATTCTCAATGTGATAATCACTCTGTTTTCATGGATAAACCAAGGCTGAGCATCTTTTTGATATGACCAATTATTATTTTTCCCCCATTACCTGATTCTTTGGGTGATTATTGGTCTTCAAGCTTCATAGTTCATGACCAATCTGAGTGTCCTTGTGCACCAAAATAGCTTCTTTCATCATCCTTCTGAGAGGGAAATTGGAAGGTTTTCTGTTTTCGATAACTTTGTGATTTACTGAGCAACATATTTTCTGCAAAGTCGTCCAACCTCCTTTTCTCCACCTCGTTAATTAACACTGAAAAATTAGTTATTTCAAGTTTGTTACTTGGAATGAGATGATCTCTTCTAAATTATAATCAGGAAGGCAGCTACATTAATTAAATTTGTACATATAGTCAGGTTCACCCACAAGAAGTCTTGCAGCGATGCATCCTTCTATACACATACTGTATAAGAATAGTAGATCAAAGAAGTGGAAGTTTCTTTATATAGAAAAATTTAAATTGCTTGTTAATTTTTTAACCCCTTGTCCTTTTTGAACTTTGAATCATGAAAGTCAGTAATGAGACTGTCACATAGCCTGAGCAGGAAAAAAAATATTTTTGACCACAGTGCTGGCCGGGGGAATTCTGGGAGTTAAGATCCAAAAAGTAACTTTTCCAAGCTGAAAACACAGTAGGACTGCTTCCACAAGGCTTTGTGTGTGTGTGTGTGCATGCATGTGCGTGCATGTGCGTGCATGCATATACAATAGTTCTGCTGCAAATACAGAAATTTGGAGGGAATTGAGACAACATCATCTTTCATTTGCAGCAGAGTGCAAAAAGTGGTCTGAAGCTCAACATAAAAAAAACACTTTTAGGCCAGATGGGCGGAGTATAAATCAAATCAAATCAATCTATCTATCAATCAATCATGGCCACTGGTCCCACCACTTCTGGGCAAATAGAAGGGGAAGATATGGAGGCAGTGACAGATTTTACTTTCTTGGGCTCCATGATCACTCCAGATGGAGACAGCAGCCACAAAATTAAAAGACGCCTGCTTCTTGGGAGGAAAGCGATGACATAGACAGCATATAAATCAAATCAAATCAATCTATCTATCAATCAATCATGGCCACTGGTCCCACCACTTCTGGGCAAATAGAAGGGGAAGATATGGAGGCAGTGACAGATTTTACTTTCTTGGGCTCCATGATCACTCCAGATGGAGACAGCAGCCACAAAATTAAAAGACGCCTGCTTCTTGGGAGGAAAGCGATGACATAGACAGCATGCATCTTAAAAAGCAGAGACATCACCTTGCCAACAAAAGTCCGAATAATCAAAGCTATGGTTTTCCCTGTAGTGATGTATGGAAGTGAGAGCTGGACCATAAAGAAAGCTGACCGCCGAAGAATTGATGCTTTTGAATTGTGGTGCTGGAGGAGACTGTTGGGAGTCCCCTGGACTACAAAGAGAACAAACCTATCAATTCTAAAGGAAATCAACCCTGAGTGCTCACTGGAAGGACAGATCCTGAAGCTGAGGCTCCAGTACTTTGGCCATCTCATGAGAAGAGAAGACTTCTTGGAAAAGACCCTGATGTTGGGAAAGTGCAAAGGCAAGAGGAGAAGGAGACGACAGAGGACAAGATGGTTGGACAGTGTCATCGAAGCTACCAACATGAATTTGACACAACTCCGGGAGGCAGTGGAAGACAGGAGGGTCTGGCATGCTCTGGTCCATGGGGTCATGAAGAGTTGGACACAACTTAACAACTAAACAACAACTAAAGTGCTTACCTGCCATGTCCACCTTTCATTAAGGTAGAAAAGACACTGCTGCAGAGTGCCTCTGGATTATAATACCAGGGAGCTATTTGCATGTTTGCGGGCTGTATGTTTGCGAGTCCTCCATAATCCAGCATACAAACAAATGGTGCATGCTGTACAGCAAATGACCTTTGAAACATGTGTATTGCTACATCGGTGTTTGTTGCCCTAGGACAGTCAGAAGTTCCACTGGCCACTTGCAAGGTTTAAGGCAAGTCTGGATTCTAGGTATATCTGAGGAAATACCTTCTCTATGAGTCTTGTGCTTTTAAGACTCTAAACAGACAGGAGAGTAAGAAAGGACAGAATCTGGCTAGAATGAAATGCTTTCAGATCCCAGTAATTTCAGTTAAGGAGGAGTGTTCCAGTCAGTGGATCCAAAAATACTTAATTTTGGACAGTGAGTACCTGAAGTCCAGAGTTTGTTTGTTTATAGGCCATAATGTTAAAAAAACTAAACACAATAAATTATACATTAAAAACAATCAAACTATCAGTAATTAAACTACATAGACTTATTAAAAACATCCAAAACTTTAAAAAGAAACTTACTCAGATAAAAACCAGTGTTCAAGGATTCAGTTATGGTTATTAAATGCCTACCCGAAGAGGTGGGCCTTCATGTGTTGGCAGAAGGATAAAAGGGAGCTGCCAACCTAACCTCTTGAGGGAGAAAATTCCACAACCTGGGAGCAGCCACAGAGAAAGCCCTCTCTCATATCCCCATCAAACATACTTGCAATGGGACCGAGAGCAGAAGATCATCCAAGAGGATGATCTTAAGTACTAGGAAGTAGGGATGTGCACTGGCACCTGAATTTGGAATTCAAATTTGGAATTGGGAGTTACGGCTCTTCAGATCCAGAATCTGGAATTTTAAAAATTTGGGATATCCAGATACCTGGAACTTAGTTACAGTCAATATGAACATAGTAATTATTTTCCCCTTTCAAAAACAAAACACAAACAGGCAAGACATTTTAAAAGAATTTTCCTGTGTCTTTAGACACCTTCCTTGTGATTGTGCCAAACAAAAACAGTACACACCAACAGACAGCAGCACCTAGGTATTAGGAAATGACTATAATGGACATTGGGATGTGGTGGCACTGCGGGTTAAACTGCAGAAGCCTCTGTGCTGCAAGGTCAGAAGACCAGCCATCGTTAAGATCGAATCCATGCGACAGAGTGAGCTCCTGTCGCTTGTTCCAGCTCCTGGCAACCTGGCAGCTTGAAAGCATGTAAAAATGCAAGTAGATAAATAGGTACCACCACGGTGGAAAGGGAATGGTGTTCCGCGTCTAGTCGCGCTGGCCACATGATCATGGAAACTGTCTTCGGACAAACGCTGGCTCTATGGCTTGGAAATGGGGATGAGCACCGCCCCCTAGAGTCAGACACGACTAGACTAAATATCAAGGGGAACCTTTACCTTTACCTTATAATGGGCATGCTGATGGAATCGTGGAAAGTGGGAATGCCAGCAGGCCCCTGGGCAGCAGTGGAGCAGCATATAGCCTGTGGTGGATAGGAATTGTGCCAACAGGATGGGGCACAGCACAGTTGCATGACCAAGCATAATCTTGGAGTAACAGTTGAAAGAATGAAAGGCAGAAAGAGGGAGCAGCAGATTGAAGCATGGCATACCTAGTACCATGCATGGAGTGTGCCATTCTCTCTTCCTTAAAGGGGACTTCAGGGAAATCTAGCAGTAGTAGGTGAACCATAAGGAAAATAAGCTTTTCTACAGATCTATGTTCCCTGTGTGATCAGTGTAGACTGATAATGTTCCCTGCCTAAGAGAACACCCTCTTAATGGGCACATGAGTTGGTGGGCAAGACAGTCCCATGGCCACCTTTGGCCAGACCTCCCCAACCAGACTCCTCCTCAGCCCACCAAGACAAAGAACCAGTCTCCTTTGGCTTGCAGGGCTCCTGCATGTATGCCTGTACCTTTGCCTCTGCCCTGTCCTTCCTCTGGGATGGCGTCTCTTAAGGACAGGCCCCTGCCACGCTTGACAAAACAGTGACCCCAAAAGCTTACCTTGATGTTTCAGGAGCGTCGGACTCTAGAATACAACTGATGATACTGCTGTTTGGGGTGCTAGTGTCGTTCTGTTCTGTGTGACCCCTCAGTGCTAGCCAGATTTCCTTCACTATCTGCTGCTGAATGTGATGGAAGGTTGGCTGGCATTTCCCTCCCCCACTGCTGCTTAAGATCCCTTGCCCGCTGTTTAATTTGGGGGTCCAAGAGGGTTGCTAGAATTTGCTCCTTTTTCCACCTGTAGTGGAGTAGGTTCCTTACTTTGTTGACCAGGGCCACTATATCAGGCTGGGAAAAAAATGCTGTTTTCCTTCTAGGGAATCTCCCATTCACCTAGACTGTCCCATCATGCTCTCCATCATGCAAACCAAGCCCTGGAACATTGGCATCACCTGGCTAAGGATGCCAGCCTCCCCACTAAGGACTTGCATTGCACACTCAAACCTTCAGAGAGCACAGAGCACTTGACTCATAGTGCCCCACTCTTCTCTGCCCAGAGGAGCAGTCACACCAGTGGAAGTCTCCAGCACCAAATACTGGAGTGCCCTTTGTTGCTCCAGCATTCTCCAAGCAGGTAGAAAGTGGTGTGCCATTGAGTTGCCACATCCTGGATTAGATGGTGCAGTGGCCATCACAAATTTTCTCGTCTCTACCGCAACCACTCTCTGCCCCGGACACTGTGGTGAAAACGCCTTGCCACCTTTCTTTCCCACTCCATTATATTGGGTATGCATGGGTCTTCTATACCCTACAAATGACTAAGGGTCATGCGGGATGGTACTTGGTTAATGAGGTGCCAGTTCTTCCACTAACCTACTACCTCATCTGCCTTCTGATTGACCCAGAGCACCTCTGTCTTGTCTGGATTGAGTTTCAATTTGCTTGCCCTCATCAAGGCCATTCCTGACACCAGGCAGTGGTTTAGAACCAAGACAACTTCCTTAGAATTTAGTTTATTCTAGTTGTTTTGTATTAGCTATGTATCTGTTGTATTTGATTGTTTAATTTTATATCGGAAGCCGCCTAGAGTGGTCCATCGGTCCAGATAGGCGGGGTATAAATAAAATAAAATCTGGGAGCAGCCACAGAGAAAGCCCTCTCTCATAACCCCATCAAACATGCTTGCAGTGGGACCCAGAGCAGAAGATCATCCAAGAGAATGATCTTAAGTACGAGGAAGTAGGGATGTGCACTGGCACCTGAATTTGGAATTCAAATTTGGAATTGGGAGTTACGGCTCTTCAGATCCAGAATCTGGAATTTTAAAAATTTGGGATATCCAGATACCTGGAACTTAGTTACAGTCAATATGAACATAGTAATTATTTTCCCCTTTCAAAAACAAAACACAAACAGGCAAGACATTTTTAAAGAATTTTCCTGTGTCCTTAGACACCTTCCTTGTGATTGTGCCAAACAAAAAGAGTACACACCAACAGACAGCAGCACCTAGGTATTAGGAAATGACTGTAATGGACATTGGGATGTGTTGGCACTGCGGGTTAAACTGCAGAAGCCTCTGTGCTGCAAGGTCAGAAGACCAGCCATCGTTAAGATCGAATCCATGTGACAGAGTGAGCTCCCATCGCTTGTCGCAGCTCCTGGCAACCTGGCAGTTTGAAAGCATGTAAAAATGCGAGTAGATAAATAGATACCACCATGGTGGAAGGGGAATGGTGTTCCGCGTCTAGGTGCGCTGGCCACATGATCACTGAACCTGTCTTCGGACAAACGCTGGCTCTATGGCTTGGAAATGGGGATGAGCACCGCCCCCTAGAGTCAGACACGACTAGACTAAATATCAAGGGGAACCTTTACTTTTACCTTATAATGGGCATGCTGATGGAATTGTGGAAAGTGGGAATGCCAGCAGGCCCCTGGGCAGCAGTGGAGCAGCAGATAGCCTGTGGTAGATAGGAATTGTGCCAACAGGATGGGGCACAGCACAGTTGCATGACCAAGCATAATCTTGGAGTAACAGTTGAAATAATGAAAGGCAGAAAGAGGGAAGTGGATGTGTCCATGAAAGCCCACATTAAAATATAATAGGCTTTAAGGTGCCAAATGTTTTTGTCGTTTTGTTTTGTTTTGTTTCATTGAATTCTGCCTGATGTGCCTGCACAGACTAACACAGCTACCTCTTCCAAACATCGTTTGACTAGTACCTTGGCTAGAACAAGTTTTGATAAATTAGCCATGGATTTTATAATCCATATGAACTTTGGGTACAAACTGATTTCTGCTAACTTACAATCGGTCACTATTCTTCCTAGAATCCTCTTCTCCATCTTCTTTTCTACATTCCCCATCACATAGGGAAGGAATTGTTCTTCAATTTCTATATGATATGAGAGAGAAAAACAAGCATATTATTTTCATTTCTGATTGCACATGCAAAATTAGATCCCATTTCCAGTGGGACACCATGGTAGTTTTAGGAGCAATAATTAATAAGAAGAATGCTGAGCAGTAATGACTGGGACTGACCCACGATATAACTTTTGGTATTGTATTTCTCTCTGTGTGTCTCTCTGGATATGTATGTGTGCATTATAAGGTTGCTTGATGCACAAACAAATAGGCAAAATAATGTATAGCCTGATTTTATATACAGTTATTTGGTGGTAAGTTGCACTCTGTGTAGCAGGATTAATCCCCAAGTAAGGGTGTGATCACACAAGGAAATAGATTGCAATTTGGACCACTCCAAATTTATTTATTTATTTTGCAGAGGCATTCCCTAAAGTGATAAAATATGCCTATTCATCACAGCATGCGGTTTTTCTCACCTGTGTATCTTTATATTTTGATTGGTCATTGTAAAAGAAACACAGACTTACCGTAATGCATTTCTTTTTGGAATCTTATTCTGGAAATACAAATAGGCTAACTGTAAGAAGTATCCATTCATTAATGATTGCTGTCCTGCTTTCTACTGCTGTTTTGTTAAGAATCACAGTATTTCTGTCTATTTATGGTTCATTGATTTACTCTGTGCTTTTGTTTTAATTTTCAGTTTTGTTAAGATTATTATGATATCATTTATAATTTGAATATTTGTCTTGTAAACCACATGGAAGAAGATATATTTTTGATTAATATACAGTGGTGCCTTGACTTACGAACGTCCTGACTCACGACCAATTCGAGTTATGCCCAGCTCTGACCGCAAAATTTTGCTTTGACTTGCGACCGGAGCTTCGAGTTACGATCGGGAAAAAAGGTGGGGAATTCAAACTGCTAACCATTGGTGGCCAAGAGGCTGCTTCTTTGTAGCTCTTTTGTCCCAGCGGTTAGATTGTGCACATTCGGAGGAGGCTTTGGACTGCCTGGTAAGGTGGTGCTTTCTGCTTTCTAAAAACTACCTGATCTGGGTGCATTTTGAAGCATAGTTTTGGAATGGGGGGTTATGTTTCTGTACTGTGATGGATCTTGCAGTCTTTGTTTATTTTTGGGGGGTGGTTTCTGTGTTTCCGATGGATCTTGCAGGGTTTGTTTGCTTTTTGGCTTTTTTCCCCCTTCGGCCAGAATGGATTAATTGTATTTTGAATGGGTCTTGCAGTGTTTTTTTTCTGGGGTGTGTGATTTTTTTCCAGCCAGAATGGATTAATCGCGTTTCAGTGCATTCCTATGGGAAATGGTGCTTCGACTTACGACCATTTCGAGTTACAACCATCTTCTGGAATGGATTAAGTTCGCAAGTCAAGGCACCACTGTAGACTGAAATTTAGTGCATGAATGTGAAAAAAATTCTGTGGTGTCAAAATAGGTGTTCTGAAATACTGTACAAAGCCCTTTCTAACACTACAGGTACTATACTGGGCTATCTGTTGGATCCAGGCATTGCCAATCAAAATATTTAGGATTAATATTTGTATCTGTAGTATAAATGTTTTCGAAGTATGTATCTATGTATCTGTGTCTCTATATATTTCATTATATTCCACCTTTTTCTCTTGCATGATTCCAAGATGTCTCACAGTATAATTTTAAAAAATATATCAAATTGCAATATTAAAGCGACATTAAATAGATTATTATACTAAAACATAAAATTAACGCAAACATTAAAATTAAAAACATTAAAACATTTCAAAAGAACAAGTGCAACAACAAAAGAACAGCACCCACCATCAAAAGGCTTCCCTTCATCAGTGAGTGACACAAAGGCCAAAGGCCTCTCTACATAGATGTGTCTTTGTCAGCTGATGGGACAGCAAAGAGTCAGCCAGCCTCACCTCCCGAGAAAGGGAGTGCCACTGTAAAATTAACGCAAACATTAAAATTAAAAACATTAAAACATTTCAAAAGAACAAGTGCAACAACAAAAGAACAGCACCCACCATCAAAAGGCTTCCCTTCATCAGTGAGTGACACAGCGGCCAAAGGCCTCTCTAAATAGATAGGCGCCATGTGCCATATTATACAGAATTCGGTTTGGAAAATGATTGGCAGCCACCAGAATTATTGTAGCATACTCCCTGTCATTAGCCTTCATCTAGTGCTAGCCCTCATCTAGTGCTAGAACATTTTTCACCAATTGTACTTTCTAAATGCTCTTCAAAGCCAGCCCCTCAAATAATGAACTGTAGTAGTCCAAACAGGATGTAACTAAGACAAGGGTCACTGTTGTCAGGTCAGACATATCAAGGAACGGGCACAGCTGTTACATTAGGTTTAAGTATGCCAGTGCTCTGGTGGGTCTTGGCCATTTAACATCAAGGGTGAATCCAAAAGAACCCTCAATCAACAAAGCTGAATTTTCACAGTGAATGCTATTCTGTCTAGCACAGACTGAATCCTATTCCCAAATCTCTCCTTTCAGCTAAGCAGGCACACCTCTGCTTTTCTGGATTAAGCTTCAGTTTGTTCACCCTCATCCCACCCCTTATTGAACCCAGAGGCCAGTTTAAAATAAAGACAACTTCCTGAGATTTGAATGCCAAGAGAGAGAGAGAGAGAGATTGGGAGGGAGGGAAGAAATAAAAATAAGAGATTCTGTCCAGTAAAGAATGGCACATACCTCTGTGTACATTGTCATAGAAGAACCCCTTATTCAAAAGACTAGAAAAGACTGAAGGAACGAGGTTTGACAGGTACTGTAGAGCAAATGCCCGAGCAGCAATTTTCTCACGGACTTGTGACTGGTTTTCCTGGGTTGCAGTCTGCTGCTCCATACGGTGTACCTTTAAATAATAATGGAAAGTGTAAGGCAGATATTTTTTCCATTGTCCCCCAAATGTTCTTGGACTCTTAAAAAGACGGCTTGAATTCCCACCTTCCATTGCCCCTTTGGCACTGAAAAGCTTATCAGGTCATTAAATGGTTGCCTGGTTAGATGCGGAGTAACAATTGTTTCCAGGTTACCAAGAGGAGGGTGACCTCTCCCCCCCCCACAACACTGCCTTTTCCTGGCCCCCACCATACTTTCTGTGTGGCCACCTTTGTTTTGTCAAAGCACAGCTCTGTGATTTCATAATGAGTGAGTGCTGATCCAGGTCCAAGATTGTGAAGGTGGTGGGCTGTGTGGCGAAAGCTAAGAATCAATTTGTGATAGTGCTGCATGCCTGACTCATCATCACTTAACTGTCAGATGGATTTATATCAATTTGGTACATTTTATTTGGTAGAAGAAAAGCTGTTATTCTGACACAATGTCAGATTTAGAGAGTTGGAGTTTTGATATTAGATGAGTGAAAACCAAACTCTTTGAAACAAATAATTTTTGAATTACCATTTTAGTTATAAACCACTGCTCGTTCGTCTGAGGTGAGTACAGTGATAGAATCTTATTCATATCCATGTAAGGTTTGTGAAAATTGTGCAGCTGATTGGCTAATGGCTAAGTGCTGGGAAGCATCTTTGATTATACAATCTGCTGCATGACAAGTCACATGACTGAGAAGCACCCATACACCTGGTTGACTTAGGTATACTTAGCTGTGACAAGTTATGCAAACAAGAATAGGATCCTGGCCACTGTATCTGAACTGAGAAAGTATGTGCAAGGGACAATATTTGTTGATGTGGCAGGGTCTACCTTCCTCACCTGACTCATCGTGACTCCACATTCTCATTCTCTTGGCAAATGCAGATTTTGGAACTTAAATTTGATAAACTAACAACATGTTCCGCTTTAGAACATATCACATAACTCTGGAACTCCAGATTGTTAAAAGCCTTTGTAAGTAAGAACAAACAAGGATTGAACAGTCATTTCAGATCTAGGCTTGTTTGCAGCTGGAGTTTAAACAAGTTGTTAATTCCCAAAACTTGGATGTAAGAGAGAACTCTGATTTGCATCTGAAATGGGCTGCAGTTCTCAAAAGCTTATGCCAGGTGAAAGCTTATTCATTTAAAAATAAAGCAAGAGACTTTGGATGTGATCAGATGCGCATTTAGCTCTCTGTTTCGTCCACTGCAGGGATGAGTTGGTTTGCTCCTTTTTTCTGCGAGTACGCAAAGTACTCGCTGAAGCAAACCAAACTGTCTCGAGAGCGTTCCTACCCGCACCTTTCTGAGCCCGTGTCCAGGGCTTCTACATTTTGGTGTGGGTAGATAACTCTCTTTTGGTCCATTTCCAGTGTGCATGACCTCTGGGAACAGACCAAAAGTGAGCCTTGTGGCTGTCAAGGCTCTTTCTGGTTTAAATTTCTGATGTGATGGAGTGGCTTACGTGAACCACTTCAGGCTGTTGTCCAATTGAACCCTTCCTCCACTCCTAAGCAGAAGAGCATGGGAAGTGAATTTTTTTCTCATATAGCTATGAAAAATATATATATTTTTTTGTTTGCCTTGTGTGAAGGGCTAGCTTGTCCTTTAAGACAAATATTTCTTTAAAAAAATAAGTGCTGCAACACATCAGCAATGGTTTACTACAGTCTGGGGAAAAATCACTTCCCTTGCCCCGCTGCTGAGGAGCAGAAGAAGGGTTCAATTTGCCAATATCCTGAAGTGGCTCATTTATTAAGTCACTTCATCACATCAGAAATTCAGATTGGAAGGAGCCAGATCAATTAGGGTCGTTGGAGCTCCATTCTGCCATGTGGATGGCAGAATTGCACCAAAGAGCATATTGTCTTTTTAACTGACCCTAGGCAACTCTTATTTAGCCTGCACTAACCTGCTCCAAACCAGCCCATGTAACCAAGCCCTCTTTTGCTCCTGCTGCAAAGGTTAACTCAGTTCTTCACCTCTGTCCTGAGCTTCCAATCTCTTTCTCCAGTACCCAGAAAAAGAGAAGGTTGAGCTCATTAGCACGAGACTTGCTGCACTTTTTCTTTATATGACTCTAGCCAGTGACAATTGTATCATTATTTTTTTAAAAAATCAAAGATCATGCTGCTAGATAAGAAGTGAGGAATGTAAATTAATGCATATAAAGAAGGGACCACAATTTGTTGGGTCAGCAGCATTTTGCACATACCTTTTCCCCTTTGGCTCGCCTCTCTCTTTCTTCAAGGCGATGGAGTTCAGCTATCTCTGCATTGCGCAGTTCCTGATAGGCAGCCTGGTGTGCCCGAAGTGTGGCCATCTCTTCTTCTTCTGCGACTTCTAACAAAGCTTGCTCTGTGGTTTTTCCAACCAAGACTTCAAGTACTGGTTTCACTTCAATGTCAAAGTCAAAGAGCTGAAGATAGAAATGAGGCTGTTCATCCTGTCTCCACTAAAGGTAACATCTTAAGAAGAGGAACAGAAGTCATTCACTTTAGAAAGAGAGGGTGATATTATAGATGAATCTGGGTATTACAGTACTCCCCACAGCAGAGTTTAGGATGCGGCTTCTTAATCTCCACTAAAGGTAACATCTTAAGAAGAGTTTAGGATGCGGCTTCTTAGAAGTGACTTGATAGTATTTCTCATCATCAAAATATTAACTTCTTATGTTGTTTGTTCTAGCCAAGAAACTTTTCAGTTTCTTTTGAATTAATTTTTTTTAAACAAATATACATACAAACACATAAAGGGCATAACAACAACATCACCAACAACAATCCCCTAATAATACACCCATGTAATATTTTTTTGAGGTATGAATACATCATTTGTTACACTCAGTGGCTGGAATCCTGTTGGAGCAGGACTGGGACTGGCAATGGAGATTTTGGGATCTTAAAGTCTCCCCTCAATCCCAAGGACTCCCAAAAGCTTTCCTAGATTGAAAGGGTTCCCTGAGAAGCACCAGAACCTGAGAGATGGGATAGGAAGTTTTTAATTAAAGACAAAAGGTGATGGCTAATGACATCATTAGCTTTATGTACATGGGGCTGTGCCAACAGAATTCCAGTCATTAAGTAACAATGATTCCAGTTGCTGTGATTTTTTTCAAAAAAGTAAAAAATTCTAGCAACAAACTAACAATTACCTGAGTGATGAGATCGTTATTTCCCACATTTCCGTACTGAGACTCAAAAGACAGCTTGCAGCATACAAATTACAGTGGTGCCTTGACTTACAAACACCCTGACCTATGAAAATGAGCATACAAATTACAGTGGTGCCTTGACTTACGAACACCCTGACCTATGAAAATTTTGGCTTACGAACAGCTCCGTTTGCAAAATTTTGCTTTGACTTGTGAATGGAGCTTTGACCTACAAACAAAAAAAGGCAGGGGAAAAGGGCGGGAAATTCAAACCGTTGGTGGTGAAGAGGCTGCTTCTTTGTAGCTCTTTCTCCCCAATGGTTCAGGAAAGGGATGTGGTGACAGCGGGGGTGACCCAGAAGGCTTGAGCCTGACCAGGAAGCCATTTGAATTTCCTGGGCTCCTGCCTCCCGGCTGCTATCGTCCATTACTGCTTTTCTTAGCTCCTGATCGTTGAGAGGATTCAGAGCTAAGCTAGACAAGATGGAATGGCATTTTAAAAAGTAGGGCTTTAACATTTTGCCCCCACCCCACTTCTAGTCCCCTGGGAGGCAGAGCCCGGCTGGGAAGCGAGCAGCGCAGACATACCCCATGCTGGGAGGCAGGAGCCTGGGATATTCAAATGGCCTCCTGGCATCAATTCTTTGGCGGTCAGCCTTCTTTATGGTCCAGCTCTCACTTCCATACATTGCTACTGGAAAAATCTTAGCCTTGACTATGTGTACTTTTGTCGGCAAGGGGATGTCTCTGCTTTTTAAGATGCTGTCTAGGTTTGTCATTGCTTTCCTCCCAAGAAGCAGGTGTCTTTTAATTTCATGGCTGCTGTCACCATCTGCAGTGATCATGGAGCCCAAGAAGGTAAAACCTGTCACTGCCTCCATATCTTCCCTTTCTGTTTGCCAAAAGATGATGGGACCAGTGGCCATGATCTTAATTTTTTTGATGTCGAGCTTCAGACCATTTTTGCCCTCTCCCTTTCCACCCTCATTAAGATATTCTTTAATTCCTCCTCACTTTCTGCCATCAGAGTGGTACAATTTGCATATTTGAGGTTGTTGATATTCCGGCACTCTTAATTCCGATTTGGGATTAATCCAGTCCTGCCTTTCACATGATGTATTCTGCACATAAGTTAAATAAGCAGGGGGACAATATATAGCCTTGTTGTATTCCTTTCCCAATTTTGAACTAATCAGTTGTTCCATATCCAGCTCTAATTGTTGCTTCCTGTCCACATACAGATTTCCCAGGAGATAGATAAGGTGGTCAGGCACTTACATTTCTTTAAGGACTTGCCACAATTTGTTGTGGTCGACACAGTCAAAGGCTTTTGCATAGTCAATGAAGCAGAAGTAGATGTTTTTCTGGAACTCTCTGGCTTTCTCCATAATCCAGTGCATGTTAGCAATTTGGTCTCTAGTTCCTCTGCCCCTCTGAAATCCACCTGTACTTCTGAGAGATCTCAGTCCGCATACTGCTGAAGCCTACCTTGTAGGATTTTGAGCATAACCTTGCTAGCGTGTGAAATGAGTGCAATTGTACGATAGTTGGAGCATTCTTTGGCACTGCCCTTTGTGATTGGGATGTAGACTGATCTTTTTCAATCATTCGGCCATTGCTGAATTTTCCAAACTTGCTGGCATATTGAGTGTAGCACCTTAACAGCATCATCTTTTAAAATTTTAAATAGTTCAACTGGAATGCCATCACCTCCAGTGGCCTTGTTGTTAGACAAGCTTTCGAAGGCCCACTTGAGTTCGCTCTCCAGGATGTCTGGCTCAAGGTCAGCCACCGCACTCTACAGGTTGTCTGGGACACCAGATTTTTCTGCTATAATTCCTCTGTGTATTCTTGCCACCTCTCCTTGATGTCTTCTGCTTCCTTCCATTTTTGGAGGTCCCTACCATTTTTGTCCTTTTTCATGTCCATCTTTGCACAAAATGTTCCTTTAATATCTCCAATTTTCTTGAACAGATCTCTGGTTTTTCCCCTTTCTATTATTTTCCTCTATTTCTTTGCACTGTTTGTTTAAGAAGGCCCTCTTGTTTCTCCTTGCTATTCTTTGAAAGTCTGTGTTCAGTTTTCTGTAACTTTCCTTATCTCCCTTGCATTTTGTTTCGCTTCTCTCTGCTATTCGTAAGGCCTCGTTAGACAGCCACTTTGCTTTCTTGCATTTCCTTTTCTTTTGGATGGTTTTTGTTGCTGCCTCCTGGACAATGTTACAAGCCTCAGTCCATAGTTCTTCAGGCACTCTGTCCACCAAATCTAGTTCCTTAAATCTGTTCTTCACTTCCACTGTATATTCATAAGGGATTTGGTTTAGATTATACCTGACTAGCCCAGTGGTTTTTCCTACTTTCTTCAGTTTAAACTTGAATTTTGCTATAAGAAGCTGACGATCAGAGTCACAATCAGCTCCAGGTCTTGTTTTTGCTGACTGTATAGAGCTTCTCCATCTTTGGCTGCAGAGAACATAACCAATCTGATTTTGGTATTGCCCATCTGGTGATGTCCATGTGTAGAGTCGCCTCTTGAAAAAGCTCTATTGGCCTTCCCCCTGCTTCATTTTGAACTCCAAGGCCAAACTTACCTGTTGTTCCTTTTATCTCTTGACTCTCTACTTTAGCATTCCAGTCCCCTATAATGACAAGAACATCTTTCTTTGGTGTCAGTTCTAGAAGGTGTTGTAAGTCTTCATAGAATTGGTCAATTTCAGCCTCTTCATCATCAGTGATTGGTGCCTAACATTAGATTACTGTGATGTTGAAAAGTCTGCCTTGGATTCATATTGAAATCATGCTATCATTTTTGAGATTGTATCACAGTACAGCTTTTCCCACTCTTTTGTTGACTATGAGGGCTACTCCATTTCTTCTACGGGATTCTTGCCCACAATAGTAGATACGATAATTGTCTGATTTGAATTTGCCCATTCCCATCCATTTTAGTTCACTGACACCCAGGATGTCAATGCTTATTCTTGTCATCCACTTTTTGACCATATCCAGCTTACCAAGGTTCATACTGTAGATCTTACATTCCAGGTTCCGATGCAGTATTTTTCTTTGCAGCATCAGACTTTCCTTTCACTTCCAGGCGTGTCCACAGCTGAGCGTCCTTTCCGCTTTGGCCCAACCACTTCATTAGCTCTGGAGCTACTTATACTTGTCCTCTGCTCTTCCTTAATAGCATGTTGGATGCCTTCTAACCTGAGGGGCTCATCTTCAAGCGTCATATCTTTTAGCCTTTTGTTTCTATTCATTGGGTTTTCTTTGCAAAGATACTGGAGTGGCTTGCCAGTTCCTGCTCTGGGTGGATCACATTCAGTCAGAACTCTCCAGTATGTTGGAGCTGTCCATCTTGGGTGTCCCTGCACGGCATAGCCCATAGGTTCTCTGAATTACTCAAGCCCCTTCAACACGACAAGGCAGCAATCCATGAAGGGGGTAATATTGCATACTGCACAATAATTTTTGGGCTACAGCTGTAAAAATGTTTGGTATTTCTGCTGGACTCGAAGTGGCAGATGACTTTAATATACCCGAAAAGGATATTTACAAAAGTAAAGTGTGAACCTTACATGGTGCCTCCAAACTGTCTCACTTGCTGCTCCCTTCTTCCAGTGCTGAGCTTGGAAGGAATTCAGGGAAATGAGTGATTTGCAAATGCTTTATCTTATGAAAGTAAGGTAAGGATGGCTGTGTACTCCCTCAGGGAACCTGTTTTAGAATGATCAGCTATTGGGGTATAAAATAAGCCTGGGATTTGCGTCTGGGGGCATTCTGTGTCATGGAAGGTTGATTTCCACCTGATATGGTGGTTTGGGGATCTGGGAGACAAATCTAGGCCTTGAGCTGGACTTTGCACATCCCATGTATAAAGAGAGCAACAATATCTGGGAAAAGTTGTGCTTTTTTATTATTTTCACTATTTATTTGGTATCAGAGTATTTTAAAAAACTTAGTTGGCTTTTTACTATTTTTTCTATTTTTGCTATTTAGCTGGGCCTTTATTAGAATCTTTAATACCTCTCCTTCTTCTATTTGTGTAGATGCATCTGACCCAGTCTTCTCTGGAATGAAGAAAGGACTGGCTTTTCTCCCCAGAAAAGCATCTGTTTGACATTCCATATCAGCTTCAAGGACACGATCTGCAATTTCTTCCAGGTATAATTCTGAAATAATTATGCAATACAGACTGGTTTTAGCAGAGGCTCAGGGGAGTGGGGGGTTCTGTCCTTCATTTACCCAACACGTTTTCCATAGAATATTTACTAAAGCAACTATGATTCATTCATCTTACGTTTATACATTCCACCAATATCGTGGCTTTCCTCTTGGTTCACATGATAGCATGTATGGTATATACATCCTGTGTTCCTCAACCTAGAACTGTCAAGATCAGTGGTTCCCAACTTTGGGTCTCCAGATGTTCTTGGACTACAACTCCCAGAATTTAATAGGAGAAACTGGCTATGGCCTAAACCCAGCATTTTCATAGTTGTCAAATACTAGGATCTTCCTCCTCCCCCTACAGCCATCTGTGCCACCCAAAAACCTGCTTCAGAAAGCTTCCCAGTAAATGCTGAGAATGTTTGGAAAATAACTATGGGAATTATCTGCTCCTAGTTGCAGTCATGGGGAAAGTTCTGCCAGCAGAACAACCCTGTTGGATCCTGATCTATGTATTCCTTTCTTTAAAATATTAGAAGAAAAAAGAGTTTGAAAGAAAAAGACAGGAAAGAAAAAGGCTGCTTTCTGTGAGAGTCTAGGCTCTGTTGTTTTGACTGATTTCTTTCAGTTTCCCAGAATGTTTATACACTATCTCTTGACTGTGGGAATCTGTCTGTATAGTATAAACTGTGTTGATCATGAGACAAGCATTTTTTGACATATGATAACCCCAGGCCTTTCAGGTGCTCTACCTGTCTGCACATCAGCACGTCTTGTAGCATCATCAACTTCTGGGGCATGTACTTCACTTTCCTCTTTTGCACGCCTTCTGGCAAGCATCTTTCTGTGGGCTTCTTGTTGCTTCTGAATCTCAATGGGATCAGGTTCAGGACTCTGGAAAGGAGAGAGGAGAGAAAAAACCCCTCTGCTATTTTAAAGCAATGTTCTAGTACAGCAGAGATGGGGAGGAAGTATTTTGGATGGTAAAGTCATGAGAAACTATTTTGTTTATTTTCTTACAGGAGATTTCACTTTCTGCCCCCAAGAGGCAGTCAAAGTAGCTTTCAAAATATTTGCACAACAGTATAATGCTGAAGTCTAGTATCTGGAATAGAAAAAGCATCCACTGTTCCTGTGGTGGTAAGGACATTTCGGGCAGCATCACTGGCCCTTCTTCTTGCTCTTCCATAGTTATCACCTTCATCTGCTCCCTGCTAGGCAGGAGGTTCGCCAAGGACCTTAGTGGCAAGGGGGTGAGTTTGAGCAGCAGCAGCTTGCTCAGTCTATGATGGAAATGAGGGCCAAATTGTACATTACAGATATCAGTGTGTCACTGGAAGCTGAAATCTGTTAATTTTTCGGGGATGTGGTTCCATAAAATCTTTATGATTGAGCCATCATACAGTGGTGCCTCGCACAACGAGCGCCCCGTAGAGCAATGAATTCGCTCTACGATGACGCTTTTGCGATCCGGCCATAGAGGAACATCGCACAACGGTGAATATTTGGCCGAATTGGAATGCATTAAACGCTGTTTAATGCATTCCAATGGCTTTTTACTTTCCGCTGAGCAATGTTTCACACAGCGAGGGTTAATCCGGGACGGATTAACCTTGTTGTGCGAGGCACCACTGTACATGCAAACAAAGTCTGTGCTTGCCTCCCAATGACCAATTACGAAGAAAACAAGATCCTTCACAAATCATGGGAGTTGAAGAAATGCTAACAAATGCTCTTGTCTAATAACCCACTCTCTGTAACATATATTTTGGCTCCAGGTCCTCCCTTGCCAGTAGTTGCTAGGTACATCTCTTGCTCAGGTCCTCTCAAGAAGTGTGTGTGGGGGGGACCAAGCTCATTCAGACTGCGAGGAAGACATCTGCAGCTTTCGTTACTGCTGTTCAGTGCATTTGCCTCCTGCTTTTAGAGTCACAGGCACTCAACAGAACACAGAGAAAAACAAGTCTCCCTAAATCCCACAGGGTATACAGATTGGATGCATGTTTACTGAGCATTAGTTTTACTGAGTGTTAGACTGATTCTCAAGTACATACTTACAGAAATAAAAAGTCCATGGGACTTAAGTTTAATCATCTTTGGACAGTACCCTATATTTACATCTTAGCCTAACAAAGAACAGTGGTGAAGCCAGAATGCAGGTTAGGCCAGTGAGTCTTGTCATGCTTTTGCAAACACTCATAAACAGCACATATATTGGAGAATGAAATCTTTTGAGTATCATTTCTTGGCAGTGGAAGCTTTCAAGTATTCTATCAATTATGTGTTAAGTAGGGAATTGTTTTGTATATCATGTTCACTGGTGTACTATGTGCAGCTGAGCTCTTGTAAAAGGAAAAAAACAGGCATTTGTAGATTTGTGAATTACACAAGGAGACTCATCATGGAAGCCGCAAACAGTGTCCTCCTTGCCCTTAGATTTCTTCCATTCAATTAAGAAATGTCATCATGCCTGCCAAGCACTGGCAGGGGCCTTGGCTTGGAAAGTAGGGCAGATTAACCTCAGAGAGTCCACAGGAGGAATTTTTCACCCTCCCCTCTGATCTGCAGCCGTCTGTCCTCCCATCCTCTGTAAAGGACTGGGAGCCCCTCTAGAACAGTGGAGAATGTGGAAGTGGAATCCCCTAAAAAAACAGGGGTAGGGCTCACTAAGTTAGGGCTATCCCATTTCCCAGCTGTTTCCCCCCACTTCACATGTTTAGAATGTTTCTCTCCCCACCCCAGTGGATTTATTAGAGGGGGGAGTTGCAGGTGGCTTTTTTGGCCGGGGGAAGCATGAATCCAAAATGTTTTTCAGTGACCTTCCACAACTTGTTTTAGTATCCAAGGGATCGTAATAAATCACCCTCTTTGTGACAAACAGATAAGAGAGAAAGACTAGGATAGGTTCGGCATTAGCTGCATAGTATCTTTTCAGACCCACATTATTTAAATGTTCCTTTCCTAGGGGGTAATTGGTCCCAGCTTTTTGTCATCCCTCTCCTCTTAATCTGATTATGCAGCATCCCTTCTGATGTGTTCACACACATTACTTTTACTGAATTGATGATTTCTTGTGAAGGCAGATTTTCCAAGTTGTTGCCCTTTTGGTGTATTTAGATTAGGCATCCTTCAGTCTTGAGAGACTATGGTAACATGCTGTGAATGGAGGACTTGGAACAGCATCTAGTGTGGCTGAGAAAGCCCATTTGAGAGTGACCATCCCTTCCACACTGAAGACAAATACAACCTGTCCCCTGTCCAGCTCCCTGATTGTACTGGTTTCGGGACTGCCTCTTTGCCTTGGCCTGCTGGACAACGGTCTCTTCAAATTGGGAGAGGCCATGCTGCACCGCCTGCCTCCAGACAGTGATCACATCTGCTTGGTGAATGTGGTTGTGTCCGTAGCCCTCTGCGAGTTTTACGCCTGAAAATATAAGGCTAAATGACGGTGGGGACATGGGGCAGATAATCATGATTGGTCTCCACCCCATCTCCACCTTTCCCAGAAGTAAGACAGACCTTTGGATGTTTAGCATGCAGTGTCTAAGGAGGGTGCTTACTGCATTCCTCTGATCTGGATACTGATAAAGCAGAGCTCTTGATCATGGGAGTACTACGCATGCAGTCAGTTGCACACACACCAAAGTACCTCTGCAGACCTTTGCACTGATGTGTGGAGTGGGGCTTATGAGTGTTTCTCCTGCCTCATTCTGTTTAGAATCCATCATGCTCTCAAGTACTGTAGAACATCTAAATAATAATCTTCTTATACCTGCATACCCTTTCTGCACAGGCAACTTGTGATCCTAGCAGAGGTGGGGGTGAGACCTTTCTGCTCTCAGACCATGAGGTGATGGTGCCTTTCTGTGGCTTTTTGTGTCTTGGACTTAGATTCTAAATTTTGGAGCTAAAGCAAGGCCATCCACTCAAGGCAAAGCAGCAAATTGTGCCATTCCTGACCCTTTGGGGGCATAGCAAAAGTCACAAAGATGGATTCAGTGTGTCTTATAGAATTAGAGGAGCTGAAATTTAAGTGCTCCTTTAAAAAGACATACAACACCAAAGCATTAAATGCAAGCAAAACTATAGGTTCACTGAATACCTAATTTGATATGTCCACAACTGGCTTCTGTGTGCTTAATGACTACTGACACTTGAACTAACTCCCTTGGAAGCAGTTGTGTTTCATTCAGTGTAAGGTAACAGGAGATTTCTATTTTCAGTGGCAAAATTGTTATGGCTCATTCGTGCATGCAAATAACCATTGGATGACTAAGCATATGGGAACCAACTTCCACGGTATTTTCTGGCACAAACATATCCATGTCCAGTGAACCTTTTCTTCCTTTGCATATTTGTGAAGGAAATAAAGGAAGATATATGAAAAAGAGACCTACCCAAGGTAATGTGTGAGCAGCATATGTATTGCCTCGAACCACACGCCGGTCATACATGAGGTTCCCATACCGAACTGGACCGTCTGGACTGCAATACAGAAAATTAAGAAACACACATTTTTAGTGAAATCTAAAATAGTTTTAATCATGTTTTATTAGAGCAATCCAAAGAAGAACAAAATGCAGGGAATAGCCATCCCAAGTACAGTAGTGCCCCGCTTGACGATTACCTCTTTAGACGACAAGATTGCTATAGCTATTGCAAAACGATGTTTGTATGAGGAAAATCTGCTTGATGATGATCGATTCCCTGCTTCGGGAAACGATTTTTTGCTAAATGACAATCTAAAAACAGCTGATCGGCGGCTCTCAAAATGGCTCCCCACTGTTTTGCTGACCTCATTTCGCAAGACAGGGAGCGGGAAATGGCCACCATATGGAGGATTTTCACTGCACGAGCAGGTATTTCCCTCATTGGAATGCATTGACCAGTTTTCAATGCATTCCAATGGTGTGTTGTTGTTTTTTTGCTTGATGATGATTTCGCTGTACAGCGATTTTGCTGGAACGGATTTTCGTCGTCAAGCAGGGCACCACTGTATTATCAGAATGCACACATGTTCAAAGCATGAGACATATCCTTGGGCCACAGGAGATTGCTGAATAAAAATAACAGAACACAGGAAACTACTTACCGAGTATACATGGTGTAGAGGGGCGGGGTAAAAAATCCAATAAATAAATAAACAAACAAACAAACAAACAAACAAACAAACAAACAAACAAACACTTAGGTAGATTATCTAACCATCTAGAGCAATATTGTCTACTTTGGCCACATCAGCTAGAGGTCTTCCAGAAGGCTATTTCCCTGGTCCTTGGTTTAGTTGGAAGTGGCAAAGATAGAACTGGGATGTTCTGCATACTGAGCATCAGGGCCCACAGAGCTGAAGTCCAAGATAGTTTAATTAGCAGAGATGATGACATAATCTCCACATTGCTCAGGCTCCTTTGTTCCTTCTAAGTTTAGCTGTAATCCTCATGATAACCATGTGTGGTGGAGGTGAGAACAATATACTATGATGAGCTGTCCCTGCTGTAATACAAAGTATTTGGAAGTAGTTAGATCCAGAATGGGTAGTTATGACCATGACTTTTATAAAACAACTGCCCTTGGTAGAAACGAAAAATGGTAAACTGGTTTATTGACATTGATCAACAGAGCTGTCTGCATTTAAGACTCTCATTGGGGGTGTGGCTGTGGAAACTTGTGATGAACCTGCACTTCAAAAACTGATCACTGCAACAATGCTAAGCAAACTTTGCTAAGCATGGTTGGGATCTAGATCAGGGATCTCCAAACTATAGCCCGCGGGCCGCATGCAGCCTGCCTTGGAATTTTATCTGGCCTGTTCCGTTCAGCCCATGTACACGTGGGGTGTAGGTATGGGCAGGCGTCTGTGTGGGTGGGGTTGCGCGTGCACATGTTCCTTCAGCCCTCATTAATCAGAATTTTAAAAAATATATTTCACATTAACTAAAGTTTGCATTTTTCATTAAAATATGGTCTTTTTGCAAAATACAATTGTTATTTATTTATTTAAAACATTTCACACCATATTTCTTCTTTAAAAAGACCCAAAGCAGCTTACATCATTAAAATACAATATTGAAACTAAAACAATAAATTTGCAAACACTAAAAAGGAACAAATACGACTCTGAGAGATAGTAAACACAAGTAGTACTAAAGACTCAGTCAGAGCCACCATGCATAACAATTCATCTAAAACAAGGGTCAGGGAACTTTTTTACCTTTTACCCCCTAAAAATGTATATATGCTGACATTACCCCCTTGATTTAAAAGGAAGGATCTTGGTCACGTGCGTCTCAGTCACACACGGCCAGTCGAGCGCCGCCGCTGAAGCCTTGCTGCCTGCAGCCGGGCCGCCTCCTCCTCCACCTGGCGGGGGTGTGCTCAGTCCTTGGCCCTGCAGGGGTGGCTCTCTTTCTCCGCTGGCAGGCAGCTCCTGGGCGGCCATCAAAGAGCAGCAGGTGGCTTGCCCACCGGGGGCCGCCTCCTGCTCCTGCACTGGCACCAGCTCCTGCGGCTGCTTGCCGGGTGGCCGCGTCGGGCCTCGCCATTGAAGCACTGTGACAGCTGCCGCATGTAGGGTGAGAGGTTCTGCCAGGCCCGGCTGGCCAGCGTGGAGGTGTTGCCAAAGGAAGCCACCCAGCCGGCCGAGCACTGCTGCCGCCTGACAGGCTCCTCCGGGAATGAGGCATGGAGTGTCGTCATCATCCCGGCACCAGGAGGCTGAGCCTGACCTGTGCCACCGTCCTGGCTGTGCCCGTGATCCACCTCTCTGGACACTAAAAGGAGAGGTTCCTCCTGGCTGGGGTGCTCTGGCCACTCGCCCCGGCCTCATCCTCTGCCATGGCCAGTCCCGCCGGCACCTCAGCTGCCGTATGCCACCGGCCAGGGTCCGTCGCCGGCCATCATCCACTGTGGCTCGGTTGCAGCTGGGCCAGAGAAGGGGGCAGGATGGGGGCAATAGGGCAGCTGGGGACCCCCCTCCGAGCAGAGGAGGAGGAGGGAAGGGGGTTAGGGTCACGTCCTCATTACCCCCAGGATTTTCATTTTTACTCCATTTGGGGTAATTTACCCCTGTTCCCTTACCACTCATCTAAAAGTTACTCACATAGCCAGCTGTGTGGCCAGTCACTCATGTAGGCCTTTTGCATTTAGTTAGTGAACGTCTCGGCTCATGCAATTGAATGAGGAACAAATATGGGGCCACTTTTCCAAAAGGCAAAAAGAAGCCTTTGAATATCCCATTGGACTATCAGCTAACAACAGATGCCATGGGAATCTGGGAAGTCAATATTGGATAGTTTTTTAATAATACAACTGCTGACTAAATGCAGATTGAACTCGTTGCAGTTGAAAGTGATTCTGGGATGTTAAATGGACCAACATGGTAGAAGCAGATATTACCCAGTAGGATGCTCTAAAATGGATGACATTTTCTTACAGAATGTCATTTGTAAGCAGATTTAAGGGATCAATATTTCAAACCGTTAACAACTGCAATCAAGAACAGCTTCCTTTTATGGACAGTTCCATTTCTGCTAGCTGGTACAGACTACTATATATCCTATAGGACTACTACATTAGTTAAACAAGCCATGGAAAGACCGAACTCATTCCCTGCTTCACAATCTCTCTATAATTTAATTTTATGATTTGATACCTATCTGAGAATACTTATTTTATTATTTTGATATTTTACTATTGTATACTCTTTTGATTATTTATACGTACTGTATGTATTTACTGTATATTAGATGTGGCTTAATTTCTGTTTATGTGTACAGCCTGACTGGTTATGAAGCAATAGAGTAATAATGGCAGGGTTGTTTTGAACAAAAGCCTCTTCTACAGTTTGTTTACCAAAAGGGTTCCAAAATGCAACACACACACAAAAACCTTGTAAACTCATCTATTCTCATTTGTGCGAAATCTGCAAAGGATTACTTCCTTAGTCTTTAAAAAAAATCAGCATGTGCATCTTAAGTGTTGCAGTATTTTCTACCTCATTAACTGGGAAAGTGAAAACTGTTGTGAGGGCTATGTGGAGAAAGGCCTATTTTAATGAGCTCATGAGGGCTGTTTTGCTTTGAAATCCATCCTTTCTGCATCAAGATCTCCAGATATCTAGAAACACTGTAACACTTGAGGGTAACTTTGCCAACAAATGCCAACAGATGGTAATATTGTATAGCAAGGTGATATATATATACATTGGCTGTCTAGATCAACAACTAACCAGAAGCTGAGCTTCAGAGAGACAAGGCTGCTGTACAGAATAAGATACATACTTTGAGACAACTAGTTTACACTGTTAATAGGATGTTTTCTGTTTCAATTGTTTTCATTTGTATTCTCAAAGGCTAAAACAACCAGAAAAATCGGCAGTAGCTGAACATGCCAGACATGAAATCCTATTTCAAAAGACAGAAGTACTGGACAACACAAGCAATCATTATGTTAGACTACACAGGCAAGCCATTGAAATCAACAAACATCAGCAAAACTTCAACAAAGAAGAAGAAACTCAACAAAACCTGGCTCCCAGCACTGAAAAATACAGCCTGCACAAAGATCAACAAACTCTGCCCAGCCACAAGGACCAGTGATCACTGCACACAAAAGACTAGCTAACGACACCCATCAATCACAGTGACAGATCATCTCCCCCCTTACCACAACAATAAACCCATAACAAAAACACCCCGATCATCATAATCAACCAGTCTCCTGAAAATGACAAAAAGCTGATCCCACAGCTACAAATTCTCAACTATCCCACACACTGAACCAGAACACAGACGAGTTCTAACTCCTGGCCTCTGATGCTGGCCACAGAGACTGGTGAAACGTTAGGAAGAAGAATACGGCCAAACAGCCTGAAAAACCTACAGTGTTGTCCTGTGTCTCAAGTGTTGTTTCCTTAAGAATAAATAGATTATACTGTCCATAACTTAAATTATTAACAGATTAACTTGTCCCAATTACCTATGGGAATAATAAAGAGGATATTGGAAGAAAAGGGCAGCGTGACCACTACTTATAGATTTTCAAAGATAGCCTTGTCAGTGACAGAAAAATGACAGAGGCATCATTTTTTCCAGAGCTGAACCATACATGACAGATACACCATCTCTTGAAGACGAAATTCTTCAAGTTCTGAAGAATGTGTGATTGTCACAGCAGAAACTTTTCTCATCACCTGCATTTTGGAAATTAGCTGGCATTGTTTTGTCATTGATCTTCTAGATATACATGTGAACATTATAAACAGGATTGTTCAGTCATGAAGGTTTCCCTGCCTCACGTCTCTGGAACACTAATAGATTTCAGCGTTTGATGGTCTATCTGTAATGTATCTGTAATGACTGTCAGTATTGTGCATGTTCATGATACCTAAAAAGACACATTAGTTAGGTATACACAATGAATGAAAGGAAAGAAAGTAAGGCCACAAAAACAAATTATTGCTTTTTCCTGCTTATCATCTGCAGTAGTGGTGGTGAGGAAATGTATGGCTCACATGATAGTATAAGAATTAAAAGGTGATGTAATTTGATACCAAGAGGACTATGGTGATATCCATAGTGTGATCTTGGCATCTCCCCTTGTTCAGTATTGAAACTTTAGGCAGAAATGCAACAACTCTGAAATTGGTGCAGTAACCAAGGGACACACTCAATGCTCATATGAATGCAAAGGACATACTTGACAAACAGAGCCAGACTAAACAGTAGGGCAGAGAAAGAAAGCAAACATGCAGAGGGACAAAAACCCAGCCACGCCAAATCAAGTCATGCTGGGATTGTAGGTCATGGCTAGGGTGGTTTAGGGTCAGATACCATTACTCACCTTTCTTTGGTTAACATGGACTTTCGATAACGCTTTCTGACAGGCACAGGTCGAGGGTGGCTGCTATAGGAGTAGGTTCTAGATGCTGTTGATGAGCCATCTGGATTGAGAATCACTGAGGTCATGTTGGATCTTAGCCACAGTGGGTTCCAATAGACTTAGTAAAGACTTGGTGGCATTATGAAACAATTCTCCCTGCCAACAGTTGCTACATGTTGTGGAATTCCATTCTCCACAGTGGTTGCCAAGGTAAACCAGTCCTGCCTGATTTGTTCTGCTTCTTAGTTGGAACTTTGCTAGTGTTCTCAAACCATTGTTAACCTTCTCCTGCTGAGTTTTAGGCAGACTGGGTGAATCTTGTCTTTTCAAATGTGCCTTGGTACTTTTTAGATTACAGTGGATAGAGATAAATGAAGACCCTTGAGACAGAAAAAGAATGTTGTTCTTATAGAGCTGGTAACTGCTACCTCGCAAAGTCAAAGTGCATAATATCCAAAGCTAGCCAAATTATTAAGACATATAAGGCAGAAAATCCCGGAATGTCTCACCTTTCCATTGTAGTAAAAATGGCTACAACTAAAGTGGCCATTTTTAAGTGGGCTGGTGCAGTCTAAATAGGGTAACCTGAGAGTAGGGGGAGGAGCAGTATGCCACAGGTGTGATCCTGATATCCAAATGCCATATTGACCTTAAGCAACCCTATTTTATCAATATCTATGTGCTCTCAATTTCTGGATTCATGCAGTGGCTTACTAAATGAGCCACTTAAGGATATTGGCAATTGAACACTTTCTCTGCTCCTCTTTGGAGGAGCAGTTGAAATGAAATCATTAATGTTTTGCCTCTGCTACATCATCAATGATACACTGCATCACTTAAGATTTTTTTAAAAAAAAATTCTTTGGCACTGCACACAACACAGTTGCAGTTTCAACTGGCAGTTCACAAAAAAGATAAATAAAAAAATTAACTTCCCCTACCCTTCTGCAGATGTTCAATTTGCCAATAACCTGAAGTGGCTCACTTATTAAGCCACTTGACAATTCTGGAGATTGACAGTGATAGGAGTCTTGGCAGCTTTGACAGCTGCAAGCCTTGATTTTTTGTATTTTCTCAGTGATCATATGCCCTAGACACAGACCAAACTAGAGTGCATCTGCCTGCACCAAAAAACCAGAAGTCCCTGACAGGCTCAAATAGATGCGGGTAGGGGCACTCTGGGAACCACAGATTGGTGCATTGTAACAACCAGGTATCTGATTTCAGGGGGAAAAGAGCAAACTCTCCTGCCCCTGCAGCCCCCCAAACAATGAGACAAGTGCCTGTGTGATCAAGCCCAAAGTAAATTTGCTGCCATATTGTAACACACCAGACCCACTGTCAGAGGGCCAGACTTGCCATACTGTGGCATATCATCATCAACTTGGATTGCCAATTGACAGAACTGTTTACGTTAATAAACAAAGGAGGGTCCACCAGACCAGTAAAGGGAGGTTTTACTAATTTGCAATGTTTGTTAATTCATTCCTCCCCTATAGCCTGACATGTGGCCCCTTTAATTCCGGGGTAACTGCCAGTCTTCTGGAGCAAATTCCTGAAGCGCATAAGGAACTGCAAGGGGAAATGGGGGGGCGGGAGAGTCACAGAATTTCAACACTCTTTCTGTCGGTTGTAGCAACCTTAAAGAATAATTCCAGATATGAGATGCTACCATCTCAGATCAGACTCAGAAACACAGACGATATTGAAACAGACTGCTGGTCAAAGCTTCAGATGCAGGGGTCAAAAGAGAGCCCTGGTTAATGGTTAAGGAAGTGTGGATACAGGACAGGTTTTGAGGAGAGTGTAATGGTCCTGTCCCACATCATTTTGTTGAGTACAGAAACATGATTCGCTAAAGAAAGGGAGACAACTGTATCTGTGTAGCTCCTACATAAGTGGAAACTTCCCAGATCTGGGGCTAGGGTTCATGTGGAGAGACTGCTTGAATAGAGAAACCTCTCCCTAGTTTACTGGCCTCAATGCACATGGGTCTCTACACACCTCCTTAATGAGTGAACAGGTCTTAGATGTTTAAATGAATGTGTTTTCCCCGTAACATTGTCCCATTTTTCTTTTCCACCAAAGAATTTCTTTCGAAATCACAACTTTTGCTGGGTTAACTCCTGGGAATTTTACCACAAGATGTCACTGCAACCCTCGTGTGCATCCTGTGGGCTGTCTTTCATTCTCTGAATTGTAGCTTTGTACAATGCTCTTTGGCACACGACTATTGTGCATTCAGAAACAAATACTACTGTGAATTGTGCAGACCTTCGTGCACAATAATAGAAACATAAAACCCTGAGGGACTGAGTTAAAAACATTTATGGCACATTGAACTATGAGCCAAAAATTGTCATGGTGAGGGAACCACAAAAGAAGCTGTGTAGAAGGTAACTGTTAACACCTAATCATCCAGTGACTGTCAACACTATGGAAACAAGCTGCTCATCTCTTTTGTTCTTGAACTATACCCTGACATGCAGAAATTAAGCCTAGCAGTTTTCAGAGTTCAGAAACCATACTTCCATGAGCACCGTTTGTTAGAAACCCTTTGCCAAAAGGGCCGGTGGCGGAGAAGCTGGCAGATCCAGTGGGAAAGAAGAGCAGCTTTTCTAGGCTGCAGGGAAATATCTGCAGGTACATAGCTGTAAAAGAAGTAGAGGAGCAAGAGTTATGGTATGTTATGTTTCCAGAGGGGTTACCCCACACATTCAGATGCTCGGCCAAAAGGGCCGGTGGCGGAGAAGCTGGCAGATCCAGTGGGAAAGAAGAGCAGCTTTTCTAGGCTGCAGGGAAATATCTGCAGGTACATAGCTGTAAAAGAAGTAGAGGAGCAAGAGTTATGGTATGTTATGTTTCCAGAGGGGTTACCCCACCCATTCCTCATCTGCAGGAGCACACAGACCTACTGGTGGACTCACAATTTGATGGAAATCTCACAAAAGTACTGAATGGTGGAATTCAGTACTTCCTGTAAGAGGCATAAGGCCCTTGAAGTGGTGCTATTACACCTGTTCAAAATTAGGCAGCGCCTATGTAAGCTAAGGGACGTAGTGGCACTGAGGGTTAAATCGCAGAAGCCTCTGGGCTGCAAGGTTGGAAGACCAGCAGTCGTAAGATCGAATCCACGCAACGGAGTAAGGTCCCGTTGCTTGTCCCAGTTCCTCGGCAACATAGCAGTTTGAAAGCATGCAAACATGATAAATAGGTACCACCACAGTGACAAGGTAATGGCATTCGCAGAAGCCTCTGGGCTGCAAGGTTGGAAGACCAGCAGTCGTAAGATCGAATCCACGCAATGGAGTAAGGTCCCATTGCTTGTCCCAGTTCCTCGCCAACCTAGCAGTTCAAAAGCATGCAAACATGAGTAGATAAATAGGTACCACCATGGTGGGAAGGTAATGGCATTTCGTCTAGTCACGCTGGCCACGTGACCACGGAAGATTGTCTTCAGACAAACATTAGCTCTACGGCTTGGAAACGGAGATGAGCACCGCACCTTAGAGTCAGACATGACTGGACATTTGTCAAGGGGAACCTTTACCTTTTACCTATGTAAGCTCTCTGCATGCTTCTAACCTTGAAATCAATAAGATGACTCTCATCATCCCACTGCCAGCATTGTGCTGGTCCTGGGCACGTTTGACATCAGGCGTTGCTGTCACTGAACACCTAATGAAGTTTGTGTTTCCTAGAGTTTCTGCCTGTGTGCGTTTGGCACACAGAGATGTCAAGAATTTCAAAGGCTTGAAATCAAGAGCTCTCATTTTATGTGCAGCTGCCTTGTACATGGCATGAGCCACCAAACGGCATGTTGCACCATGTGGGACAGAAGGACAAACTAAGGGCAGAAATAAACAATTTAGAAAGCCTTTGGTTAGAAGAACAAATCCTTAAAATACAATTGTGTGTTAAGTGTTGACTGTGGTACCTACTCTCCCCTTTTGGAGCTTACATCATTAGTTTCATTATTAGCTTTCAGAATTTTAAGCACAGGATTCCCCTCAATCCAATTTCTCAAACATACACAAAAAGACCATGCCTTGAACATTTCCCGTGAAAATGAATTCGCTTTCAGGTCTAGTTACATGTTATCTATAAAGCCAAGATTTAGGAGCAAGATGAAAGTTAGAACTAGGGATAAGTACAAGATATGGCAATTCACCCATGGAGCTGCACATAGAACCGTGAATTTAGGGATCTCTCATCATCATAAACCCTCAATTTTATGCATAGGATGGAAGTACTATTTTGTGGCCAGGCTTCATTCTTTTTTTGGAGGGGGTATTTTCCCCTTCTTTTTTTTTATTCATACATGTTGTTTGCTGAATTGGAAGCTCCAGGAAGAAAGTGAGTATAACAGCCATCTATACAGAGGAGTAACTCTCATTGGCCTGTGTAGGAAAGAACAGCCAGTTTAGAACTGATTGCACTTGAGAAGAACAAGAGATATGAATTAGCATGTTACTACAGCCAACATTGTCCGGAAACCTTAGGGAACCATAGAAGAAAATGTTGGGGCTGGCGGGGAGACTGAGCCTATGAGTCACCTTCCTAGAGCGCGGTCACTGGTATACAGTGTCGTTCTCATGAAGTTCTAGTCCATGGGGTTGTGAAACTGGAAGCTCATATTTAAGACGGGAATCAGTCACTCAAAAGTTTTTAGGAAAAAACAACACACAACCTGGAAAAGCGATTTTTTTTCCTGGCCTCTAACTCCCCAAATTCCTCAGGCCAGCATCTGGGGATTTGGGCAACTGTGGTTAAAAAAGTAACTTTTCCAAAAAGAAAACATTCTTGTTTGCTGACAATAAAACATGGGTAAAGAATATCTAATTCCCTGTTGAGATGCTATCAGAGATAAACACTGATGGTGACAACAACTTTCATAGAAAACTGTGACCAAACTTGGTTTTTAGTTTCCTATTATATTATTTCTTTACCTCATTGCCAACTTATCCTGGAATAACCACGCGAGACCAGGTATATGGGTTAAACATGGGCCACACTTTATTAATATTCATTCGTATGCTAATCCTCTGTGGAAAAAGGGGGGTCCTGCTGTAGTGCGGATTCAAATTCTCACTGGGTAATAGGTTGGCTCTTGCCCAGCTGCGAGGCTGGGCTCAGGCCTCAGTTATTCCCTTTGTTATCAACATGGAATAACTGACGGTCTCCGAATTTCCCCGGACCCCTTTGTTCTCTCTGTACCTTTCACGGGTCCGGTAGCGTCCCCAGCGCATCTTTACCTTCCAGCACCACGGTTGCCTACCCGGGCATTTTACTGGTCCAGATGCGCTGGAATTTGTTGCCACTACCCCATAAAACAATATCCAGTACCTTTGAATCCGCACTACCCGCCACAGCAATGGGAATAGCCTACTATTTCCCATGCTCCAGGCCAGCATTTGGGGATTTGGGTAACTGTGGTTAAAAAAGTAACTTTTCCAAAAAGAAAACATTCTTGTTTGCTGACAATAAAACATGGGTAAAGAATATCTAATTCCCTGTTGAGATGCTATCAGAGATAAACACTGATGGTGACAACAACTTTCATAGAAAACTGTGACCAAACTTGGTTTTTAGTTTCCTGTTATATTATTTCTTTACCTCATATGAGGCTGAAGCTGAACGCATTCCTTCCTCCCTGCATCAACTTCTTAGATGAAGTTTGATGCTGCGGGTAACCCTTACGAAACCAAGAGGTTACCGAAGATATATATATTTCAGGAGTTTTCTTATAATGGTTTCAGGAGAGTCAGAGATACTGCACAGCTGAATGCAGGGCTCTTAAAGTGAGCACTGGTTGACAGCTAATTGAAAGGTTCCAGCCAGGAGATTCTCGCTGGACATCAACTTCAAATGGGAAGCACCATAACACTAAACAAACCCCCTTTTAAAAAGTGATACTCAAAAGAGTAAAAGTACAAAAAGTTATAGAAAATCTCATTTTACTAAGGAAGAAAAGAGGAATGTTGTATGAATGGTGGGAGCAACACCTAAATACATTAATGAAGACAAATGGTCTGTCTTCATGGGAGTATATTTAACACTTCGGCCAGTTTTTTCTATTTTGTTTGTGCTCTGCTCAGTGCCAAATTGTAGACGGATTGAAAGGATAATCAATATTTTAAGTTGAAGAAATATTTCAAGGAAATAAAGCTGTATATCCCCATTTCTTCTTCTTTTATGTCTTATTTTAAAGGTTTTTTTTTTACTACAGCACTCAGCAGGCTGAGATATTCCAAGGTGTTTGGTCCGAAAAGGTAGCATTTCCAGCATTGACATATTCACTGGGAAGTAGCATTAATGTTTTAACTTGCAACACCAGAGGAGAACTGTTAATGACAGGACTTTTTTTTGATGTCCCTAATTGGGAAGTAGCATTAATGTTTTAACTTGCAAACATTCCAGAGGAGAACTGTTAATGACAGGATTTTTTTTTTGATGTCCCTAATTCATAAGTCTGCTGTAAATAAGAGGTGACTTGATAGCACATAAAAACAACAACCATTAATTTTAATTTCCAGGTAATAGTCATGTTAGTGGGTGGAATAAAATAATAAGATGGCAACATTAAAATGAACAAATGTATTATTGCTGATGCTGGAAGAAATATCTTAGTTTTAATGGTAGCACACAACTTTGTTATTTTCAATGTGATTTTGAGAAAAGTGGGTTTATAATAGATCACATAAACACTCCTGGGGCATTATGCTATGCCTTCTTTATGTAGACATCTTCTGATACCTCTGATCTTGCTACAAATTAAAGAGGAAAGTAACAGCCACTGGCTTTCTCTGTATGTTCTCTTTGTGAGTTGTAAGAAGCATCTTGCAGGCTATTTTTAAGACATAGGAGCCTGGACTAGAAGAAAAGTCAGCCCAAAGAAAAAAGGAAGGTATGTTCTTATTTAAGTATCATAATCCTTGCACATATATACAAGTATATAGTTGTTTAGTGTACACTGATATATGAAACAGACAATATTTATCTACTGGGACATTTAAGGGTAACAAAGACTCAGAAAGAGGATCCTACATTTTTGGCAGAAACAATTTTGTACAATTGAGGTTTATTTCAGTTGGAAATAGCATCAGAAAAGGAAGCAGTAAAAACCATGGTAGTTTGAATAATGTAAAACCAGACAAAGCAGTATCACTAGACATGTAAAAATAATTTTACTTTGTTCTAGGATTAAGATAGACTACAGCAAATTTCCCCCACCTGGTATCCTTCAGGTGTCTTAGACTAGACTATATTATCCATCATCCCCAGCCAACACTCCTATTCAGGCTGAGGACAATGAGGATTGTAACCCAACACATCTGGAGGGTGCTAGCTTAGAAAAGACTTCTTTATTAGAGTACCTATAACATTCCTGTAATGTCTTTAGCTTGCCCGTGTAGACTTGGAAAATAATGACTCATACGATGTATGACTTTGCTAAAAGCAATATAGATAAAAGTGCTAGTTCTTTTGCTTGACTTTAAAAATGTGCCTTTAAAATTCACAGGCATTGATGAGCACAAATATATACATTATGTACAAGATTTGCACACTTGCAGAAAAACAATCATATTCCTTTGTGCTTTTCTTTGTATTAAATATAAACAAATTAGTTTATGTTAGAAGCAGCCATATGTGTCCAAAGATACGCTTTCATGCCAATTGTACCATACACATTTGGGCATAAATGGGAAAGATCCAGTCAAACATAGGATTCTTTAGCACACTGTATGTGGTCAAAAGCTGGCTGACTGCATCTCCGCACCAAGTATTCGTGTTTGTTCTTTTGATAAGACCCAGACATGGTCCTGAGACGGTAGACTTGAGGGGTGAGAGGCAGATTAGCCCTGGAATGTATTCCAATTACAACATCAACAGGTGGCAGTTTGTCCTTAGAGCCAATGATCTCAGGAGGCTTCCCATGAAAAGGGCCTTCCTTTTTGTGCCTTGGAAAATGGGGCTTATGGTTGAGAGGCAGCATGCTGGGTCTCAAATTTTGATCTGTTAAGCTACTGTAGGAAGGCAGTCTAGCAGCTAAGCAGTTTTTGGTGGCCTCTTCATAGGATGGGGGCTTCCTGGGAGTCTTTTGATCCACAAGTCGAAACACCTCATCAGCTGACAGGAAACGAGGCCTCTGTTGACACCCTGTGGACAACTGTGTCTTGCACTGACCAGCCCTAGTGGCATGAATAATCTGGCAGGAAAGATGTCTCTCTTTCACAGGGTCATTTTTGAAACCGTCCCCTTGAAAGCCACTCACACTGCAACTTTGCATTTTTGTTAGCACCTTTTTGCAAGTTGCTACTGAAAAGGACATTGAATGTTTTTTGAGCTCTCTGCTGGATGTGTCACTTTCCTTTGAAGTCTTGGTGGAAAAGGACTGTGGCCGCGTTATGGCATTTTTCTGGATGGCCAAAGGTGATGTTAGTGGCGAGCTGGTGAAAACAGAACTGTCTGAGATTGAGGAGGTGCTGTCAAGTGAGCTGTTGGAAGATGTCCTCGGCAAAGAACCACTTGACAATTCTGAGCGCAAGTCAGCTTTTATTGATAGTTGGGGTGGCTTTTTGTTCCTATAGAGGCCTGAAAGATAGGACTCTCTCATCATTGGCGCTGTTGGTCCTTGACATTTCAATGCCAGTTCCTCCTGCTGAATGACATTGTCCTCACTATTGGTTAGCTTCTGGCTCCTCGTACAGCCTTCCTGAGGGCCTTTAGAAGAAAACATGTCTGGTTCAGAGAACCTTCTATCCAGTTTGCTTATTGATTGTTTGAATCGGGTCAATGAGGAGACAGAAGGAGTCTGGGCTAGTCGTTGTTGCAAGTATAACTCTGTACCACTTGGTGTGCTGGCCGGTTCATTGGCTTGTGGCAGATCATTAGGCTGAGAATCACTGGAATTACATTCTCCATCAAAGTCTGTACTCCCATAGGCAGAGTCATGTTGCTGGTTTGCAGACATCATTTCTAGAGGAGAAAGAAAGCATAAGAAATGCACATAAAAATTAGCTCAAAATTGAGATTTTATGCTCCTGGATGCCTCCAGGAACAGCAGTTTTTACTAGTTAGGTACGTAGAGTTTTCCTGTCCGAAGGTTAAGAAAAAAGTTGTAAGTGCCTTCACAGGCAGTTTTTGTTCAGTTATTTTTCAAAAAAGAATGCTAGAAAAAGGCTATTTTTGATTTTCCTGTAAACCATGGAAGAGGCTGGGGGCACAAATCTTGCTTCCAAGCCATCAAAACTTGGTTACCCCATAGCAGAGTTTCTCATTTCTGAGGAACTGTAAAATTATTCTGATTGCAAAAATATGTCAGAAGGTAGGGTATTTTGTGGACCCTTCAGAAAGAGAGAGAGAGAGAGAGAGAGAGAGAGAGCAAGAGACAGAGCGCTGTTCATGGGTTAACTATCCTGAGATAAAACTGAACTACTTAATATATATAGCATCTTTAGATGACATTCCATGCTTATCCAGGATTATTTTGTCTTTATATATCAAACAGCAACCACCATGTATCTCTTGCTTCTGCACTGTGGAATGAGAGCAATTTCAGTAGAAATATAACATCTGAGATCTCATTTGGAAATGATCTAATTTTGTGGTGTGTCAGTTATCTTTAGTCACTTCCTGTGTAGCTAGACCCTGTCGAAAGAATTAGCAGTAATGTGCAACTGAATCAAGTGGTAGAGCACTTAACAATGAAATCCTAGCACATTCTGAGAAAAAGGCTTTGACACCGATCTAAACAAACTGTTAAAGAGCCCATGAATATACTATATGCCACTGTTACCTACCTGACTTGTCCAAGGAATCATCAGCAGAAATACAGAATAATGAACAGATTTCTTCCCCAAATATTTCAGAACAATTGTCAATGAGGAATTCCACCAACATTTTCACCTGTGCAAGTCATCAAGAGTATTTTGTTAGCTGGCCATGTATCTCAGGCAGTTTCACAATTAATGCTATTGTTTATACAGAGCAGGCCATCTTTACATGATTCAATCACTGGTTTAGAGCCAACACTCATGCTATGTTTGCTTACAGATGTGGGCATGAATCCCATTCTCTGCCCAATAATACATGAGCTCTATACCTAAACTGTTATCAGAAAGCATAGTCATCACCTGTGAGTGCTCAGATACAGTTACACTGCTTGGAAAAATATAGCAGCCAGGTTGCCTCAGATATTCTAAGTCAAAATCACAAACTTTTACAAGCTCTGAACAGAGTATATATTTTTTTTCTGTAAAGGACTTCAGGGACAATCTGCCAATAGCTACATGTCAATGGCAGACAAAATCAAAGCCAACACTGCTTAGGGCCAGGGCCAGATGTGTGGCTATCTCCTCTCTTCTTGCCACTCTTCTCTTGTTCTGTCCCATCCTTCGTCTTCCTTCCTGCTCACTGGGTTGATGGGAAAGAGACAGTTTCCTTTTAACAAAAGCCTGAATTGCTCACCCTCTGAGCCCAAGAACCATATATAATACAATTACCCCGCAGATAAGAGTCTCTCTCTCTTTTTGTAACTACATAGCTCACTCTTGTGAAGCTACCAGGCCAGAGTCAATCCACCCAAGTGCAGCCTGCTCAGCTCACAGCAGTTCTCAGGGTCTTAGATAGAGGTCTTTCCAATCACTTCCTACAGGGGTGCCTCAACTTATGAACGTCTTGACTTGCGACTATTTCAATTTATGACCAGCTCCGGCCGCAAAATTTTGCTTTGACTTGCAGCCAGAGCTTCGAGTTACAACCAGAAAAAGGCAGTGAAAAAAGGGTGGGGAATTCAAATTGCTAACTGTTGGTGGCAAAGAGGCTGCTTCTTTGTAGGGCTTTCGCCCCAACGGTTAGAGTGTTCACGTTCGGAGGCAGCTTTGGACTGCCTGGTACTGCTTCCTGCTTTTTAAAATGCCTGTTCTGAGTGAGTACAGGGTTTTGCAGCATGGGTTTGGGCTGGGGGGGTCATGTTTCTGTGCTGTGATGGGTCTTGCAGTCTTTGTTTGCTTTTTGGTGTTTTATTTCCCCCACGTTTCCAATGGGTCTTGGAGTGTTTGCTTGCTTTTTGGTGTGTCCCCCCGCCCGAAACGGATCAATTGCATTTCTGCAGTTGGGTCTTGCAGTATTTTTTGTTTTTCCTTGGGTTTTTTCCCGGCTGAAATGGATTAATAGCATTTCAATGAATTCCTATGGGAAATGGTGCTTTCAGTTACGACCAATTTGAGTTACGACCATCTTCCGGAACCAATTAAGTTCGTAACTGAAGGCACCACTGTACTTTGATTTTTGCATGGGGAATTGATCCTGGCATCTTGGCCAAGCAGTTGCTCTACTGCAAAACTATTGTCCCTCCACTGAATCTGCTTCCTTCCTAGCATTAATTGATGTTATCGTGATCCACAAACCATTACTGAACTAGAAGTGTAATATTTAAGCTTATTTGAATATCACAGAGAAATGTCACAGAGGCTAAAGATCTATATTCCTTTCTTTATTAATGTAGCAGTCTAACTGCCTACAGCATTGGTTCTTATGCATCATAAGCCAGCTCGGCTCACTATTCCTAGTATGAGGCCACAGCAAGCTAGTTTGAAGATAAAGATGTCATTGACCACTGTGTTGTAGTAATGGCCGCCTTGTCTTTGAACAACACAGTGAGAGTAGCAAGAAACAAAATTATGCTAACCTTATCTGTCAGCCCTTTCTGGACTTCAAGGGGCAGACTTTGGTCACAATCTGGTGTCAGTATAGTTGGCCCAAAGCAAATGGCAAGATTGCTAGAATCCATTTTGTTGACATCAGAGCTTTTACTGATGTGGTGGAGAACACATAGCAAATGCTTGAGCAGAAGAAGATTCGGCCTTGGGAGCTTGTTTGCAACTCTGTAAAAACAAGCAAAAGGAGGGGGGTGAATCATCCTCAGTAACTTTTCCTTTAAAAACAAAACAAAACACCCCTCCACTTCATGTTCACTTGTAGTGGATGAGACTTACTCAAAATGTGTAGATGTTTAATTAAAGTGGTTAGATAAGACTCCTATTTAAAAGTCCCAGAACAGCAGCTGAACCTCCTCAAAACTTTCCAACAAGCCCTCAAGTGGTGTAATACTGTCTGAAGTAAAAGTTATCGATTAAAAGAGAGAGAGAAAGAGAAACCCTAAATCCATTGCATCTGTGAAGATTCTCAGTCATCCAGATGAGGTTATTTAGAAAAGTAATGGCAACTGGACATCTTATTAGGTTTAAACGTTTCTCTACTCATCCAAGCAGCTTCTTCAAGCTGAGGAGAGTTGGTAGGAGAATCCTGATAGGGGAAAGTAAAACCAACGTGGAGGATATATCGGGGTCTTCTGCCAACTCTCCTCAGACTGAAGGAGCTATTTGGCTGATTAGTGAAATGTTTCAACCTAATACGAAGGAAGTCCAGTTGCTGTGACTCAACTTCCAGATACAGTAACTTAAATCCAATGCTGTGGAGATAGCATAGGAACTTTGCGTCCCCTGCTGCTGCCTTCTGTGCTACCCAAAAATCTGCTACAGAGGGTTTCCCTGGCTTTCAGAGAAGGTTTCTAGGGCTCATGCTGAGGACCACAGAAGGGATGATGATGAAGCTATTCCTGTCAGTTAGAAACACATCTTTAGCTGAAGTCCCTATGCATATAGTTTGATACAGGTGAAGCCATGGCATGTACATATTTCTGTTCAATTATGAAGTATAAAGCAGCCACCACAGATTCTTAACTGTCAGCTATCAAAGAAGCTATACCCCTGGTTTTGAGAATGAAAGCTAAGGACAGGAACCACACAGAATTAGGCAGCTTTCATTCCGGTTGATTTTAGGCCTTCAACATCGATGATATTATGATGCAGCATAGCTATTCAGATTTAACTGTGTGATGCAAAACTGAGCAATACCAAATCTTCACTCTGAATTGGGGTAAAGAGGAAATACAACTTCATTGCCTAATCAACTGGGCAACGAGCTGGCTGCATTTCCCTTCCAGCATTATTTCCCTTCTTGAGAAAAGTTCTTGAAGTGAAAAAAATTACTCGGCAGCATACATTTCAAAGGGGGAATGCTCACAGCGATTTCCTGCTTTGGTTGACTGTTAACTGTAGCCATGTTGGCCAGTTTTGTGCAGGCTTATACGTATGTTCCCATTCTGTAGATAGGACTGTAGCCTTAGTCTGCAGCCTAAATACACGTAAGTTTCTGTGGCAAACCTGGGAGATGTGGGCCCGCTTAATTAGGCAATGGAACTCTCATACCAATTAATAAGCGCTCCCAGAATTGATTGAGACTCAGCTCTGAATAAATATGCTTCAGATGATTGTGATGGTAAAACTGTCATTGTTGGTTTTACTCAACAGTAAAATTAGTCAAAAAAATTAACAAATGAACATGTTTAAACTTAGAATTTAATGTCAATGCTTTCTAAAGATATGCTTTCAAACCAATTTTGTATCATATTAAAGGGGAAATGTGGCAAGTCCAGAGACTGGAAAAATAATTTTTTGGACTATAGGTTCCAGTGGTTGTGGGAGCTGTAGGGGTTGCTGGGATTTGTAATCACATAAAAACACAACTTTTCCAAGTTCTGGACAAGCCGTACTTGTCAATATCCAACACAAATCTGTATCTGTCTTCTTGGAAGCAAGTCCCATTCATGTCAATGAGGCTTACTCCTAGGGTAAGTGACTGAAGGATTGTAACTTCACAAGTAATTTCAGGGTAATCAATGGAACATTTGACATGTAAAAGTGTTTAGGACTAGTGTCCCTCTGTGTTGTGTGTCAGAGAGCAACAATAAGAAATTTTCTGCAGTTGGATCCACTTACTCTTTCAGGGCTTCAGTTCTTTCATGGTGGTTTGTCTTTTCTATCGCTGTCATCCACTCATCATAAAGCTCAGTTAACAAGAGTGTGTGAGGAATGTTTCGGAGAAAATCCTGCAAGGAAATAACTCTTACTTTGTGTAAGATATTTTGCCATAGTACAAGCAAAATTATCTCTTTTTTTGCACAGAGAGAGCAGACCCATGAGAATTTGCTGCTTGAGGCAAAGAACAAAATTCCATGCCTTCCTATTCCACGTCAACAGGGAGTGGCCCTTGACTTTTTTTCAGCATTGATGATGGGGAAAAGCCTTCACCACATCTGAAGGTTGCCGGGTATTTTAGGGGGCACAGGGCAAGCTGTACTGCATGCCTCTCTCTCCTCCAGCACCTTGCTGCTGCCTCTCAGCCTTGTGAAGTGACTGTTTCAGTCTGCTCTTGTAGGTTTGGCCTTCCTGAGGAACCAGCAGCTTCAGCAAGAATGCATACAAGGACACACAGACAGAGAACTATATATATATACCTTAAAAACTACTGCTAACAAATGTACAGATGCATTTTCAAAGGTAACATTTCCTCCAGAGTTTAACTCTTCTTTCAGCTCCTTGCGTAACTTCTCATTGGCAGCTTTCCGGAATATTCCTTCAGTACTTGGTCCTTGCAGAAAGAGTATTGTAAGGATATCCTGCACATGAGCGAGAACAAAATACCTGTTATACACCGTTTCAGCAAGAAACATTAATGGACACCACACTTTAAGAAGGATTCAGACAAATTGGAGCAAGTTCAGGGGACGGCAACAAGGATGATTAGGGGGCTGGACACTGAGCCCTATGAAGAAAGACTTGAAAAACTGGGCATGTTTAACCTTGAGAAAAAAAAGACTGAGGGGAGATATGATAGCACTTTTAAAAATACTTAAAAGATAGTCATACACAGGAGGGGCAGGATCGGTTTTTGATCATCTTAGAGCGCAAGACATGTAATAATGTGTTCAAGCTAAAGGAAGCCAGATTACAGTTGAATATTAGGAAAAACTTCTTAACTGTTACAGCAGTAAGGCAATGGAACCAATTAGGAGGTGGTGAATGCTCCAATGCTGGAGGCATTAAAGAGAAAATGGGTCAACCATCTGTCAGAACTACTTTGATTTGAATTTCTGCCTTGAGCAGGGAGTTGGAGTCAGTGGCCTTACAGATCCCTTCCAACTCAATTATGATTCTATAGAGAATGGAACATAGTCATAGGTCGAAATATTGTTGCACAGTTTTGCCTGTACAATGACACTGATTAAAAACTTTCTATTTTGATTTCAGGTTGCATATAGCTTTTATGCAATGAGATGAATTTGTGTGCACTCCAAAACTGAAAAAGGAAGTACTTTATTAGCAGCAATTTGCCTTTAGATTGGCCAAGTACCTATTTTGTGCACTCCAAAACTGAAAAAGGAAGTACAGTATTTTATTAGCAGCAATCTGCCTTTAGATCGGCCAAGTACCTATTAAAAAAGTATCTGCACAGAGTAGAGACAACTATTAGAATTAATGATGTTGTAATACTGTATTTGGAAAATTAGGATTTTATCCATGCACAGTGTTTCTGTCTCAGTGTAACTTGTTCTTTCTGCTGTTGGTTGCTTTCCTACCTTCTGTCCCACCCTCCTGCTAGACTCTTTGAAGAATACAGTGCATCTTAAGAGTTTCCTTATCATATAATCTAAGATTTTTGTTGGTGAATATATAGTCCAAACCTAAATCCTTACAAGCTAGGAAAAACTATTTCCTTCTGGATCAAAATGTGAAAAGGGTTTTCCCAGGAAATGTTGTGATTATTTTGCACAGCTTAAGAGAGTACCCTCTGCTACAAAAGGCATGCAGCTTTCCTACTGCAAGTGCCTCCTTACCTGTATTGGTTTGGGCAGCCTATCTTCCTGGCTGCAAACAAGTGACAATGGCTGGTCAAACAGAGAGAGCTTCGAGTCAGGTTCAAGATGCCCCAGAGTTTCTGATCCAGCAGTTATCCGTCTCAGCATAAATGGCCAAGATATTACTTTCTTTCTTTTCTGTTTGCTGTCTGTTACAACATTAGTGAAGAAGAGTGTGTAACCAATAAGTAACATCAAAATAATTATATGGATGACTCATACATGATTACTGAATTATATACAGAGGAATAGCTAAAAAAACCCACACAAATCCATAGTGGAACAAAATCCATAGTGGAACAATAATTCATAAACATTTTATTAAAGCCAGAAAATTAAGTGTAGGTAACTAAGGCTGCAATACGATTCACACGTAATTTGCAGTAGATCTTACTGAGAACAATGGGGTCAATGTCTGCATAGACAAGTTTACTATGGCACTATATGGCTTGTTCACTTGTTCCCTTGATATTCTACTTTTCCTCCAAGAGGCTCAAGGTAGTCTACATATGTCTCCTGTTTAGCACTTTATCCTCACAACTTTTTTGTATCTGAGGAAGAAAGGAGATTTCCTGAGATTCTCAAGTGAGGGACCAGGATCTCAAAAGGAAAGGATCTCAAAAAGTAATTTTACTTTGATACTACTCAAGGCCTCAAGCACTACTTGAGATGTCATAGCTGAGGCTAAAGAATCTTGGTACGTGTAGTTTGGAAGATATGTAGAATGCTCTGTGTATTGTCAGCAGAGAGAGAAAAGTGCCATGTTTAATGCCACAAGCATAAGTGCCCAATTTCGTCTGTGTATTGTCAGCAGAGAGAGAAAAGTTATCGCCTCTGCCATGTTTAATGGCACAACCATAAGTGCCCAATTTCACAATCTGTTTCAAAGCTATGGAATGTTAATCCTTTGGACTGTAATTCCCAGAATCCAGCATGGCTATGCCAGCTAAAAAATTTGGAGACTTGTAATACAAAAAAATTGGCTGACCAGGATTCTTAGTTTTCATGTTCATTAAAGGACATGGTTTCCATGTGAAAACATACCAGACAGGTGACATGGCCCATCTTCATCATCACATGGCATGAATAAGTGGCATCTCTTGATGTCAGCCTACAGTAAACCATAACAAGGTAGAAAGAAATCAATAAAAACTCAGTCCAACCAGCATATCCTCTAAGAAGCTTGAAATGTGTATCCCTTTTGAAAATCTCACATAGCATGTAGTTGAGATAAACATATTGAAAAGTGGCAACAGTAAGTCTGGAACAGATAAACGCAATCCTACTTTTCACAATATACCTCTTCATGATTTCTACCGAAAATATTAATCCTGTCCCTACAAAACATGGGTTGGATCTAGATAGACAGGTTTAAAATACACTAGCTGAAATGAATCCAGTAAATTATTCACTACTTACTTAACCCACCAATTTCAGTGAGGCTATTGTAAGCATGAGTAATTTGATGAAATGAATGTTGGGAGCCTGAAGGATTTTAGAATCTCCTCAAAAAGCTTTTTCCTCTTCCAAATACTATGCAGCAAAACAGTTTTTATAATAAAGTGGAATTTGCAAAATGGTTTGCCATTTGGAATGGAAGTTAGCAATTTACATGGACAGGTGGGAAGAAAGTCAAAAAATTCCACAGGACCAGTGCAATCTTCTGTTGTGAGCCTAAGCAGATCTTTTGGACCCGAGCCATAGACCCAAGTAAGGCTGCAAAGGGACTGCAGACTTCACATGCCTGGAAACAGCTTCACTGACGTGGATGGGTCCTTTAGCTAAAAAGCATTGAGGCTAAGAGTCATATCGTTTTCCAGACTGCACAGTTCTGTCTTGCAACATGATTGTAGCAGAGATGGGAGAATGTACTTCTTTGGACTAGAAAAAGCTATGGCCATTCTACCTTGGAGATCATGGGAGCTGTAGTCCAACTAAGTAACTTTTCCCGTCTTGGATTAATCCAGCAATGATGAAGGCACAAGCTCAGAGCTACATGTGCAACTTACTATGTACTTATTTTAATCAGTAATTCAAACAATAATGATAATAATGCTTCAGTTCTCGACAATTAAGCTCAAGTAAACAGTAAAATCAGAACTGGTCTGATAAAAGTGTACTATAACTCTCAACATTTATTGAGAAGTTAAGTCCCACTGAACTCAAAGGCACTAACATTCTAAATTGCACTCTATAAAGAAGAATAGATAAAAACATGGGGGTGGGGTTATTTACCTCTGACTGGCATGCAATCAAAGTCTCCATGCTACTCATATTTAAGGTTTTGGGCTGTGAAATAAAACAAAGGCAAGGCATGGTGAACATTCCTTACAGTTGTATAGCTGAAACAGATTATAGTCTTCAGAGAAAAATATATTAGGTAAAGGAGCAAAAGAGACAACTTACTGCATTGCAGCTGCTTAGCACCTTCATCAGGAATTTAGTTGATGCAAGTTTTATGATTTTTGATTGTTTGATTTGTCTTGTTTTCCTGGTTAAGTGTAAAGAGGCATATATTTTAACAGCTACCCAGAGGCTTTTTGTTTGCTGCTTTTCTTTTCTCAATTGTAAACTCAGGCTGGATACAAATAACAATTTCTGTGATTTCAAAGACAAGAGCTTTTCCTGTCATGATGTAGGCACAGAGTAGTTTTTCTTTCATTGTTGCTTTTAGGTTTTTTAACAATAAAAAAACCCATTTACTAGAGACAAGAGTTAAGCACAGCAGAAGCAGCAATCCCACTTTCTCTTTGCCTTTTTTGGGGGGTGGGTGGGAAATGTTCACTCTCAAATCTTAAAAGTGAGCTAGTAGAGGTCCCCTACACAAGTATTGTTTCTACAACACATCATAAACATATGCTGGCTTAAAGGATGGCTCTAAAACCTTCCTTTCAAGTACTTTGCACAGTGTGCTGTATATTACAGTAAGGATCATCTATAGTACTAAACAGCCAGTGACTGTAGACATTTCAATACCCATCCACTTACCACCCACCCACCCCAAAAAAGGAAAGGAAGAGTAACATATGCTAGGATTTTCAAGCAGTTCCTGACATTGCAAAAATAAACTAAATCTACTGCAGTTACATTCTATGCATAACACAAAGCTAGGAGCAGGCTTAGTCTGCTAATGAGACAGTTAAGTTGGGCAGTCAATGCTTCATCATATAACATATTGTTACTGCACAGTCCTGAAAGACAGAATCACACCAAGCTTCACCCTACAGTACATTCATTTTACAAGCTTACCAGAGAATATCCAGGCAGAGTTCTTTCACCTCCAACAAGCTGCATTGAAAAAGAAAACCCACGTTATGCTCTGTTGTTGCAACTAATTGGCTGGGGAGAGATGGGGAAACAGAGAGAGACTTTCAGCCCTGTGTGTGCTGCATTCTAAATGAGCGGTGGTAGTGGAAGGACGCAGGTGGAAACCCACAACGTCACAGAAGCAGGAAAAAGCATCACGGTTTGAATGCAGAACTTAAGCGCTCACTGGCAGATGCTCATACTGCTCTGGCTTCCTCTTTCCTTTTAGGGCAGCTGCTGCGTGTGTTTGCCCTCCCCCCTTTCGTAAAAAAACAAAAGAAAAAGCCCAGTGTTGTCAGAGGCAGAAGGGCAATGGAACAGATGAGATGTCCCACAGGTAAAAGTTCCATTTTACTGTAGGACTCTAGTGGAATGTGTGAAAAGTTCATCACCGCGTAGGCTTTCCCCAAGTCTCTAAAGAGCTTCCTGCAGTTTTACATATCAAACTCTTACTAGGAGGAGAGGCTGTCTTTGTGTACATAACCAGCCCTAAGAGATCAAATCTAACCTCCTTCCTCAATAAACCACATACAGTATCTTATAAAAGATCAAGGTCAGTGCAAAAATATTAGTGTGTTCTCTTTTATAAATTAGACAGAACAGCAACAACAACAACAACAACAACAACAATTATTTATTTATTTATTTATTTATTTATATCCCGCCTATCTATCTGTTTATTTATTTATTTAATTTATACCCCGCCTATCTGGCCCACCGGACCACTAGCCAACTCAGGACCACTCTAGGCGGCCTGGGAAGGCATGTAGGGAGGGCTAGTAGGAAGATACATATGTGGGACCAGAAGTTTTGAAATGTAGAAAGTATTGTATTGGGCATCTATTTATAGCTGAGATCTTTGTAAATTTTTTGTTGTGGTGGGTATTGCATGAGAGTTTTTAAAAATCAATACACACACACACACACACACTTGTGTATATATGTGTGTGTATTTATTGTGATATGTACTTACTGTACTTAAGCCCTCTCCTGACCATTCTGTTTACAGAACTGCTATGGGACTAGTTTCTGGTGAACGGGAGCACTGGATTAAAACTTGACTCCTATTTTGTCTCACAAAATGCCACATAAATCTGTAAACCTAGAATACCAGCTGCTTCAAGAAATAGTGATAAGCAGGTGAGGAACATCAAGTGGAGGAGGAAAAATGAAGCTGCCTTCTGGCTGACTGAGAATGGTCCCTCTAAAGCAGGAGGAGCTGCTAAAACAGTTTTCATACCTCATGAAAGCAGAGGATGGCTGACAAAAAGCAACTGAGGCTGCAGTCCTAAGCAGAATTAGTAAGAAGGCAGTGATGTTGCATTCAATCAGCCTCCCCCAATCTAGCAACCTCCAAACATGCTTGATGACAAGTACTATCATTTCCGGAAAGTACAGCCAGTGGTTCTGCTGGCTGTCTATGACAGAGGTCAGCATCTCTGGAGCACACCAGGCTGGAGAAGGCTGATGCAAATGAACAACTCCATGGATCTCTTTTCTAGACAGTTTCAAAAGCATGGGAATTACTTGAATACTGTATTGTTCCACACTATTTGACAGGAATGGGGACTTGTGAATCACGACTTGCTCTCGAGTCTGAATCAAACTGCACTGGTGACTTGACTCTGATTCGACTCAAGGGGTTCTGGGGGGACACGGGACTTGATTCGCAACTCTGACCCATTTGTCAAGAGTCAGACTAGATAGTGTAAACTGCATAACACTGCATAAACTTAACATCGTGTTAGGGTAACAGACATGATTCTGATGGCCCTCCATGCTTGAACACACATGCAAATGATGCCCATGTCTACTTTTCAATCAACAACCACAAAGCAAAACAAGTTATGGTTGTTGTGGGTTTTTTGGGCTCTTTGGCCGTGTTCTGAAGATTGTTCTTCCTAACGTTTCGCCAGTCTCTGTGGCCGGCATCTTCAGAGGACAAAACAAGTTCATTTGAAAACTACAAAATATGTGGAAAAACTCATACTGCAATATCAGATGTCTTTCTGTGCTTAAGGAATACCCTCTTCTAATAATCTGTAATATAGAGTTTGAGCTTAAAATAGTGACATGTATTAGAACAAGTTTCAACGTTTTCTGGTATTATGGAAGGTAAAAGGCACTTGCCTCCTGAATGAAGAGCTTCATTTGGTGGTATCCAGATTAAGGTTATATCCAAATCACACTTATGAAGAAGTAAGCAAATATAATAGGATTTAATTCAGCATAAACATATATAGGGATGTGCTTTAAGTTAGTTGACTTTCATTCTTATTGAAATCTATGGGACAAATCTGGCATGCATTACGTCTAGTTGATTTAACAGGGAATTAAGTTCACCTAATCCAATCATGGTTTCCTACAGTCATCTCCCCACTGCCTTGGCTCTCATGTGCAAACAGCTTTCTTTGGAGCTTTGAAAAATTGCTTTATTGAACTATAACCCGCAGACACTGCATGGCTATTAGCCTTGTTGATTGTGAAGTTCAGAGCTTTCCTATGCTCTGGCTAGGACACAGGTTGCATCATGCTCATCATTTATTTTTTAACACTTATTTGTAATTCATTTGCACATTTATTTGTACTAAATGCTGGTAAGGCCACACCTGGAGTACTGTGTACAGTTCTGGTTGCTGCACCTCAAAAAAAGACATAGTGGAACTGGAAAAGAGAGCAACTAGATGACTGGCCTGGGGCACCTCCCTTATGAGGAAAGGCTACAGAGTTTAGGGCTCTTTAGTCTAGAGAAAAGACGTCCGAGGGGGGACATGATTGAGACATATGAAATTATGCAGGGGATGGATAAAGTGGATAGAGGGAAGCTCTTTTCCCTCTCACGCAATACCAGAACCAGGCGACATGGACTTCAATTGAGTGTTGGGAGAGTGAGAACAGACAAAAGAAACTATTTCTTGACCCAGCGTGTTGTTAGGCTGTGGAACTCCTTGCCATAAGATGTGGTGATAGCATCTGGCCTAGATACCTTTAAAAAGGAATTGGACAAATTTCTGGAGGAAAAGTCCTTTGCAGGTTACAAGCCATGATGGGGATATATTATCTCCAGGTTTAAAAGAAAGGTACTGTACTTCAAAATGCCAGATGCATGGGAGGGGTATCAGGAGACAGGTATCTAGTTGTCTCATGTGCTCCCAGAGGCATCTGGTGGAGCCACTGTGAGATACAGAAAGCTGGACTAGATGGGCCCTTGGCCTGATCCAGCAGGGCTCTTCTTATGTAAGGGCAATAAAACCAATGAAAAAGTAGTAACACTGGGAATGCTCAACTGAGCCCTCTCAAGCACTGAAAGACTGCAGGAGGGCAATGGTGAAGTACTAAATTCATAGCCTGCCTGTTTATCTCACACACAGAGCTCAGAACAACAGATACTGTAGTTGGAAAATTAATTTCCCAACGAATACTGTGAAGAGTGTAGCAATGCTCTGAAGGAACTGAGGAATCTGATAGGGGTGGCACCACCCTAGCTTAAAAAGCCATGATGTTTTGTGCCTCTGAGCCCTGGTAACACTATAAGACTACACAAGGAGAGTGCAAGAGTTACGCTGCCCCCTACCCTGGCTAAGTCTACGTTTGGCAGCTGGGCAAAGAAACCCTACAAGCAAATCAGTCTATGAGCATGAAACTCCTCTGCATTATCCTAGAATCCCTCCATTTTTGTACATGTGTATGTATGTGTCCCTTTCACGTATGTTTTTAAGGTGTGATGAACTTTTGGAATCTGCCTAGTGAAAGCAATCTTAAACTTTAAGATTTGCAGCTAGGTTTAACTAAGTTTAGTTTTTTAAAGTTTGTATTGCTTATATTTAATACAATTTTATTCCTATGTATATAGAATTGTTTTTATGCTGCAAGCTAAGTTGGGAAGATAATGGCTAAGCAATGGATAGAGTAAAATAAATAATCTGTGTTGTCTATTCTTCTTATTTGAGATATCTCTGAAGCTTCTTAGAGTGGAATTTCCAGCACACAGCCAAGTAAATGTAATAGCTTGGGACATGGATATTTGAAGGAGTGCCTGTCCCTATACAAACCTGCCCAATCTCTAAAATCTGCTGGGGAGGTCCTCCTTTGTGTCTCATCATTGGGAATAGCTTGTTATGTGGAAACACCGGGAGAGAGCTTTTTCTGCCTTAGCACCCCAATCATGGTATGCTCTTCCCTTGGATGTTTGATTGGCACTGACACTGGCATCATTTTTGGCACCAAGTCAAGATGTACTTTATTACAGCCTTTGGGGATTGAAGATTGTGGCCTGCATAGCATTTAGTGTAGTGCTTTTAATCAATAATCATGTGCTGTGAAGTTAATTCTACTTATGGAAATCCTTTCCAGGGTTTTCCAGGTAGAAAATACTCAAAAGTGGTTTACCATTCCCTTCTTCTGGGGGGGTGCCCTGGCACTGTGTAGCTTGCCCAAGGCCACGCAAACTGGCTCTTTCCCAGGAGGCACAGTGAGGAATTGAATTCCCAACCTATGACTGAACTATCCAGTCAGCTGCAACATTTTAATATACTTAATATATGACTGTTTGAATTTTGTGTTGTTTGGTTTTAAATTGTTTAAAATATGTTGTAAAAATGTTTTATTCACCTTATAACCTGCCCTGAGATCCTGTGATATCGGGTGGGCTAGAAATATTTAAATAAATAAACACAATAAATAAAGGAACAACTATAAACTGTGCCAGTGAAGAAGAAAAAAATTGTTTTTCTTAGCAAGGGCAGCTAAGTTAAGGTCCCAGGGAAACAAAAGGCAAGGAGACAGATTGCTAGTACCTTCCCCCCCCCTCGCCTGCCTTTGTTCTTCCTCAAGCAGCATCTGTTTTAGTTCTTTTGTGAAACCCCCAATGGGAAAATCCCTACCCTAGCAAATGTTAGCTGTTTCAAAAGAGCTGTAACCAACTTGTTAGGCACCCTGATGACCGTTGCAAAAGGGAGCTGCATGTGTGAGCAAATGGTGACAAATCTGTGCTTGTTTCAGTGATATGCTAATGAGAAATCAGCCAAGGTTTAGTATACTCAAGCAGACAAAGGGATGCGACTCAGCCTTTGACTCTTCCAGCCCCATGTATAATCCAGTGAAGCAATGAGGGTTCTGGACCATTGCTTCTCTCAATGTACATATACAGAGCACACAGCAGCTCTGCCCGAGTTGGCAGAGTAACTGTCTCC